CACTTTTCCGGCTTGAACGAAACAAAGCCGCCGCTACAGAGAATCGCAGAAATTCGATCCCTTTTTATCCGGCCATCCATCCCCATTAGCCTAATGTGCGTCTATATATTGCAAGCGCATTTGACGCTTCCGTAGCTAGCAGGGTGCGGGCATGCGACGTCAACGACGACAGCGGAGATTTTATCTCATACCTTGCCTTACTTTCTTCTGCGGTGACACTCCTGTGCATTATCGCCTGTAAATAAACCAGGATACCGAAGATAAACAGTGTGCATATCTTATAAAAAGGTCAAAGCCTTTTGCTATTCATATTGGAGATTTCTAGTGCAACCATGTCATCCTTAACTATTAATAGTACAAACTTTTCGCTTGGCAAAAGCAGTGTTATGGGAGATGGCACCTCATCATATTTTCCCATAGCGTTCTCGGTTTTAAACGCTTTTCTGGGATTTTCTATTGTGGCCGCACTGCTGCTCAACGGATTAATTGTCATCGCTTACTGGATGGATGCCGGTATGCGCAGCGGCTTTAATCTCCTTATCGTTAATCTGTGTTTGGCGGAGGTTTTTCTGGCGGCAACGGGAATGTCTGGGATTTTTATACGTGGCTTATACGGCTATTTTCCGTTCGGTACAGCGGCTTGTTCATTTTTCCTGTACTGCAACAATCTTTTCGGCAGCTGTGTGCGCTATGGGCATGTGCTGATTGCCTTTAATCGCCTGTGGGCCGTGACCTATCCGATGCACTACCGAAAACACAACCACAATCTGAGATTAACATACATAACAATTTTGTTGGTCTTTCTTTTTCTTAACACGTTGCATCTTTCCGTGGTTGTGCCGGGAAGAGTATGGCCAAAAGTCAACGATACGTTATGTACTGTTAATGTGGAATTCCAGCGGAAGACAGCGTTAGCAGTGGAGATTTTAGGATTTACTGTGACCGAGTTTCTGGTTGTGGGGACTAGTTTGTCTGTATGGCTGAAGATTGCTCGACGGAATCGTCGAAGAGCACAAGTCGGTACAGCGCCTATGGGTAAGTAAATCGTGCGCAGTAAGCATCATAAGCTACCCTTGGTTATTTACGTAAGTTGCTTCTGTCAAACACCGCTTCCGTAGAAGTGTTAAAATGAAGCCACAAGACAATCTCCACCCGAACTGCTTATGCATACTACATACACCGATGATTACGTTTACGAGAAATCACAATCGAGAAAAAACCGGATCACAGGCTCAGTTATTAAACAGTTACTGTAGTCTGTATACCGTCCGATGCGTAAGAGCTCGAATAACGAAAGAACCGATACTACAACCAGACAGCGTGGTCAGAGTTCGATAAATACGTGGTCGTGTTACAGCAAGCTTTTGGCAAGCTGGTACAAAAAGGCAGTTACAACATGGTAAACCGATGGGACAACGTACTCCCGCTTAGTATATCTATATTTTATTATGAGTACTTCTGATTTACTGAGTCTTGTCTTTAAAAAACGCTTTTACGACAGTATGATATACTTGTGGTATTCAATAACGGATCACTACGTACCGAATCGCTGCCGGAAACACAGATCCTTCAGCCGCATTACAAATTTACACGATGCACTGTTGATTAGCAATAAGTCGACCTGATTAAGTCTTAAGAAGAGTCTTAAGCAGCATACTTCTATGCATTATGCATGTGAAACACAATGCACAAGTTTGTTAATAAAAACATAATTACACTAGCAAAAATTCAAAAAAACATCAGTGTACGCGGGTGATCCCTCATTCACGCAGTATGTCCATATTCATACACCATATTGATCAGTTATTGAGACATAACGAAGTACAGGTACTTCAGTGCTGAGAATTCTTTTTGTACACTGTATTCTTAATTTGGGTTTGTATCATTTTCATTTTGGGCGCAGCGCGCTATACATAGTGTTCTATTTCTGTAGTTTTAGGAACTCTCGATTCCAGTCGAGAATCATCCAGCGCAAAGCGCAACCATATCGCTCAAGTAATCTTAATGGAACAGGCCCGCGAGGCATCCAGCAATACCAACAACGAAGCAGCATCAGCGGCATACCAAATCCATAGACACCGCGTCGCACCACCACGTCGACCGCATAACCGAACACTGGCTTACCTGGTGGTTGCGGTGGTCATTTGCTGGACGCCCAACCATTTGTACTGGTTGCTCGTGGATGCGTTCGGTTACTGGAATTTGACCTTTATGATTGTGCAGTTCTTTATGGTGTACCTGAATTCATGGGTCAATCCGCTGATCTGTTTCATGGCTTTGAAAGAACTACGGAGTGGAGTCAGAAAAATCCTGGTGTTCTCCAGGTGACCGTTCGGTTTTGTGGCAAAATAAACTCCGATCGATTGCGTGACAAAGGGCAATAATACGCAGTTGTTTAACCGTCATAATACGGTGTTGTTCGGCAAGAAAATTCTGCGTATGCTCGATAAACATGCGTGATAATCCTGGCGTTTTTGAGCAATGCTCCAGATTTTGTTTGCAACAAAACATTATTCGTGATTACGACTATTTGCGTGCTGCTGGACCGCAGACGCAGTCAAAAACCGATCAATACTTCCATTTTTGTTAATATTTTACACAGTTGTTGATATTGGTGTTAATATTTTTATACAATTTATGTTTTTAATCTTTTTGTTGTTGGTATGCTGCTTATTTTACTGCAAACAAAGCAAACAAACAAACAAAGCAAACTTATTTCATACAAAATGAATATGCCACAATCATTATTTCATTACGTTATGCTGACTGATTATATATACCACAGTCATTATTTCATTACATTTTGCTGACTGGGAAATACTGACTATAAAACACGCAAAAATAAGTAAGACCGCATTTTGTAGCCTTTTGTAGTTATGTTGTTATCGGTATCAAAATAAAACGTTATGTACATATATGTTATTTACGGAAATTAGGACGGTAGTCATCGGTCACACGAACCGGCAGTTGCCGTCTACGATTATGATCAAACTCCGTGTGATTTCCGTTAATTTTCGAAAGTAAATTATATTGCCAGTTGAACTTATCGATTCACACCGCCGGAACGTGGCCATGTATGATCTTTTTAAAATAGATAATTCTTGCATGTTTATAAACAGTGATAGTGCTCAGTATTTTAGCTGTTTATGGTTTATGCATCCGGTATGTTTAGGACAAAGAGCAGTAATTCATACAGTAATGACGTCATTTGGTCAGAATCGGCGTCGGGCATCAGATAGATAACGAGCAAACCCTCTTTTTCGCTTGAACACCGCTAGAATTATACTTTCCTGACGTACAGTCGGTGCCGATGTGTCACTGTGCGAGCGGACAAAAACATCTGATATAAAAACTATGCGACATGGAATTTAAATTTCATTTCATTCCAGTTTGGCTTGAATATTTTTACTTGTACTTTGACTGCAAATTACAACGATGCCGTTGATTTAATTACCGCTAGAAGTCCGAGAGGTAGACGTGGAAACTCATCGGGTAGGAAATGAATTTGTCCAAGGCTTTCTCTACACACTCTCCGGTTTGCGTAGTGGCGTGCGCATCATGGCGCTTATCGCGTTATTGGTTGTGATTTTACCGGAAAAAGGCGAATGTCTACCAATCAGTCCTATGGTACCAAGCGTCCCGGAGACGGTAACGGAGGAAGTTTTCCTGGAGGAAGTGCGTCCCATTCGTTCCGTTACGCCCATGGTATCTCTCGTTGTGCTGTCGAATGGACAGCTGGTGTACTTTTGTCGGGAAGGTCACGAGACAGTGTGCCAGGAGAAGTGCATACAGAATGGTTTTGCTCGCGGAGAGTGCTTCGGAACGCCGGCTAAATGTGAGTGCCAGTAAATAAAACATCAAGTACTCCAACAAACTTCAACCGGAACGTACGCTGAACCTCGACGGATTGGTCAAATTACTGTCAGCAATGGAGAGCCGGCGTCCAGACGGTTTAAACGGAGAACGGTGGTGTGCAAGGCAAGAACTGGCAATCTCTGCTTGTCGTTCCCGTATCCATAAATCTATCGAAAATCCGGACGTACGACTAACACTCCTCGCTTTCATAACGCTTAACAGCCTTAACCACAAGGATAGTCCACCAGGCAGCAGGACCAGGAAGCAACATTGTGGAATCCTAAAGGACGACTGCATATAAACATTACTGCATATAAACGACTGCTGGACTGCATATAAACTGCGTATTATCGAAACGCAAAGGTACCCCGGCAACTATGCATATATTCTGCGGCCAGGATTTGGAGGCGGCATTATTCGGTACCTTTGTTCCCTTCATTAAATGACAAATTTACAGTGCAATTTAATTAAAGAAGTTGTGAGGTTGAGAATGATTATTATTATAAGGATCATATAAATATTTAGCATTTCATGCTATGCTTTCGTGTTATATATCTGTCGATAGTCAATGCAAAGCAACTATATTTTTGGGCCGGAAGATAATGATGTCTTTTGATTCGTGTGATCCTATCAGAATAAACTCACCCGAAAAACATTAAATACGTTGAATACCGCATTAATAGTAATTTAATACAGCAGTAAATACCGGAAAATCTGCTTTTCAAAAGCACAGAAAAATTTGCTTACTGATGCTGTACCGGTTGATACTGGTAGGCATCCCTAATTGAACGCGCACAACGGCAAGTGGATTACGCGCGCCGTTACGTGCAGTTTCTGTACATACCTTACTTGTATACGTATTATTAAAGTAACAATATTTTAGCGCTTTATTAAGTACTTATTGTACTCTTCAAGCGTATCGAATCATAGACCTCTGTGGACAAGCTCGCAATATGTCAAGTTTTCAACTGCTTTCAAGCTTTAACTTCTTTCTTGGCCAAGCAATTACGCAGATTCACCTTCTGAAAGGTTTCGTGTTTTCGGTTTTGCAATAAACAAAGAAAGATTTGTGAGCGAATTCGAGTTCAGTGATGAAACAAACAGTACAATTCACGTTTCAACAGTTTGACTGTCGTTCATTCCGAATTCCACTTACAACTAATTGAATTTTATTGTACGATCGTTGTGCATTATAAGCGCTGGTCATAATAAATTCTAAACACAATATAAACGTCAATAATTCAGATTTCAAACACATGCTAGTCGGATGGTGAAAAAAACTTCACAGTGATGCGGACAAACAAAACCGGAGAAGCGGAAAAAACGCACAAGCACGGAGTAACAGCTAGTGCAAAAAATAATCGAAAAGGATCCCTCGAGGTAAATACTTCACATTCCATTCAAAATCCCATCGTCCACTTAACAAAATGTTTTCTCCGTGCTGCGCCATCCGAACAAGTAAACAAAAAGGACGATTTCTACCGTTGAGAAGGAGCCAGCGGGAAATGCGACTTCATGGCGTCCGGGAAAAGCTGGTGATAGTTTAACGTGGGAATATAATTTACAGTGATCATCCGCCCTAAACAAAAGGGAAATTCAACAAATGAAGTTGTGAACGAAAAACCAATCAAAGACGCGAATGCTTGACATGGAATAACCCGGGCAAAAAAAGGGTTCATTATGGAAAAACTTAAAACAAGAAAAACCCGGAAAAAAACCAGTGTAAAAATCAAAACGCCATATAAATTTCTGAAAACGTAGAATTTCTTACATTCCCTCTGAATTACTAGTAAACACCCAAGACTTATGAATAATAACTCTAAATAATCCCGCAAATATAAAAAGAACTTGACAACAAATCTACCTTCCATAACGTAGAATAATAGCTTCAAACGATTTTTTAAAAAGATTCGTTGTACGTACCAGCAAAAAAGCGGCCATGGAGACTCTGCACCGCCAAGGTGGCCGCCGCAATGGACACGCTCTTGACGTAGACATTCCCTTCCGCAGCGTCGGCGTCCACGTGGACATGCACCACACCGCCATACTGACTGCACTCATCGATCACCTCCTGCTTCAGATCACAGGCCCATGTGGACTCTGTCTCCGTTTTCGGATCGAACATGTTGGACAGCATAAAACACTGGGTAGCGATCGGTGCCATAGCCGGTGCTGTAAAAATATTTCCAGTTAGAATTCGGGAGCAGAATACCACTGAAAGCTCCAGAAATCAAATCAGGAAATCTTTATCGGGCAAAAGCCATCAATACAACAAAACGTGCATACGCAGAATACTACGCAAAATGATTTACATTTTAACATCAGGAAATTAACTACAGTGATTCAGATTAATAAATTTTTAACAAGTAGTACCAGATATTAGGCAAAAATGACAAAAATAACAGAATTATTAATTTGCCACAGGTAAAACAAATCAAAATTCAGACTAACCTGCAGGCGCAGCCGGCGGCGGTGGCGCCGCCGATTGTGGGATCTTCATCCCGGTGCCTTCGGCCAGTTTGGCCATCAGTTGTAATCTGCCCGTCGGGCCCAGGTCGAATCCCGCGCGGTCCGTGTCGTCGTAATCCAGTGAGCCCTGCGTGGCGTTGTCGCTGCGGTCCGTCACGTGACCAATCTTCATCGCGCGTCCGGCCAATTCAAAGCCGTTCAACTGCTCCATGGCTCGCTTCGCGTCCTGTGCATCGCGGAACTGCAATACAAATGCGTATGACGTATAATCCAAGATCATTAGCGTTTTAATGATATCTTTATAAATTATTCATCTCAGGTCTACTGTCAAAGTTCTCATTGCCCGCAGCTCACGGTAATTGTAGAGAAATATTACATCACAGCAGCAAACCTGGAGAAATCGACACTTCTGCTCCACTTACCGTGATGAAAGCATATCCTCTTGATCGTCCGCTCTCGGGATCCATCATCAATTGAACGCTGTCCAACTAAAACGCATATTAATAAAATAAGCTATTTTAAAACCAAACCTGCAATTTCTAACCGGCAGTTTGTGCTTTTTTGAATTTTGACGTGGTTAACCTAGTATAAGATCCATCAGCTCAATAAATTTACCATGCAATTTCTGATCTGCAAGGCTGCAACTATTTTTCCTGATATTCCTACCTTAAAATTTCATACAATAAAGTTTCATTAAATATTAATATGCTGAATTATTGCAGTATTACACTAATACAGTGCCCACAGACTGAAATTAAACTAGCCATTTCCAAGAGGGAACTATTTTTGAAAATATTATCATAATTCAGTTTCCAGCCATTTTGATTTACCTTTCCAAATGGTTCAAAAATATCCTTCAACATATCTTCCGTGATGTTGAAATGCAGCGATCCCACATACAGCCGCATTGGGCCCTTCTGCACGGCACCGGCCGCCGCCATCGCTGCGCGATTCTTTTCGGCATGTGTGGGTTGAATATTCATGGGACAGTTCTTCAGTTTCTGGCCGTGCAGACCCAGCGCCAGCGGCACGGCTTCCAGTTCGTAAAACTCCACATAGGAAATACCCTTGGACCGCCGCGTCTTACTGTCCACAATCAGACGGACGTCGCGCACCCGGCCGACGGAGGAGAAGAACTTCTCCAGATCCTTGGCGTTGATGGTCTGTGCCAGCTGCATGCAGAACACGGTGCGCTGATCGCGCTCTTCCGCCGGGATATCCGGTGATTCACTGCGGACGGAACGGGCGCGTTCGATGGACTGCCGAGCCCGGCCGCCGCCTCCACGCCCTCCAAAACCTCCACGATCTCTGTAATCACACAAACAGCATTACAAATCGCAATAAAAATAAAAAAACCACCGAAATAACGATCAAAATAATAAACACGACTAAATTATTAATGTATTCAACGAATTTAAATTTCTATTGCCTCATATGGTTTTGTCCCCCACGGCCATCAAAACGACCGCGGCCTCTGCAATCACAACAACAGTATGAACAGCTAACTACAACAAAAACTAACGAAGTTACCAAAATCAGAAACAAAAAAATCGACATAAAAATCTCTAAACAGCAGTAAAAAATAAGAGGTAAACTTACATTAAATTGAATAACATATTTTTTTTATCCGTTATTTGCTAAAGAACTATACGACAAAAAATGTATTCCAACGTGTAATTCAAATTGAACTAAGCAAAAAACAATTATTTTCATATGAACTAATTCAGTTAATCTCGTATTCTATTGCCTCAGGAAATGGTATTTGTGTATCAACAAGGACGATTCTGCGTGGTGCATTGTTTCTCATCCCCGGCATGAACGCTGACAGAAAACCAAAATTTCCAGTGAAAAAAATAAGATCTCCTTACCGTCCTCCACCTCGTCCGCCTCCATACCGCGGCGGACTCCTCTCATACCGTCGACCTTCCCCGCGATCCCGTCGCGGTGAGCGCCGTGGTGATCGCGAGCGGTCACGTCGCACCGGGGAACGTCGATCCCTCTCCCGATCCCTCCGGTCATCGCGGCGTCGCGGACTCCGTGAGCGGGAACGCTTCGGGCTGCGGCGGGGGGTGCGCGATCGACTCTTGGACACGGAGCGCTCTTTGACTTCCTTCCGCGATCGTTTGCGATCCCGATCCGCATCACTGGGAGGCGGACTGGGACTGCGGCGGCGGTCACGATCGCGACGCCGATCACTGCGCTCCCGCGATGGACTGCGGCGCCGGCGGGACTCTTTATCCCGGCTGCGGGTGCTACGGGATTCCTCGTCTTTGTTACGACTGCGACGCGATTCCTTATCCTTGCTGCGGCTGCGCTTCTTCTTGGGCTTCGGAGTGCGGGACCGGCTGCGACTGGGTGATTTCGAAGGGCGCCGCTTCCGCCTAAAAATCCACAACATCTAAGGCTTTAAAAATGCAGTTTTCAGTAAGTGTTTAAAAATTAACTGTTTAACTGAATCGTCAAAGATTTGCCTCAGGTTATGGTTTTGTGTATCAACAATTACGATTCTGCGTGGTGCATTGTTTCTCATCCAAGGCATTAGAAACATACTGATCCAAAAAAACACTACTTTGCTAAAAAACGCTTCCGAATTTGTAAAAACGTGATTCAAAAGGATAAGTAATCACTTTAGGTTACTTACTTACATCATTATTGGAGCTTATTTTAATTACAGAAAGCGTAGAAAGAAAATTAGAATTAGAAAAATTGGAAAAAAAAACACAGATATCAATACAATTTTTAAAGAAGATACAGATACCAAAATCAGTGCAATTATTTTCAAAAAACCTTACCCAGATTCTTCAGCCCGTTTCTCGGCGGTCCCATTCTGCGGCTCGGGTGAGGCATTGCGGTCCTGTAAGGAAAGAAAAACCCCAAATTATTACGCTATACAGCCAGTCGAAAAATCCCTCGAATATAATTCAGCACAGAATCCAAAACGGCTCCATATCACACCCAACAGAGATCCCTCTTTTGGTCATACACCACAGCCTACGAGAAATTACGTCTTACATTACTGCACAGAACAGCTACGAAGCTCAATGAACAGAATATAAGGCAAACCACGGCTGCGGAAGAGGCGCGTGTGGGAGAACGGAAGCAAATAAACAAGTGCGCATTGTTTGTGTGTGCGAGTGCAGATGCCTACAACATGTCACCAACGATAATCGAATTACAAAAATTATTTTCTCATAAATAGTGTAACTCTCGTAATTCCCTGAGCTCCCCACGCCGAAGAAGTCTGTCAAAACACTGGACACCTAGAGAGCAAAATCACGAAAAACACGGAGCGACCACAGTCGCTGTGTATTTCTCCCATCAGCGATCTACAATTAGATAAATCGCCGAGTCAATGAGGGTTCAATAAACGCTGAGATAAAAATCATTAGGAGAAAAATTTACCAAACAATGATTACGACAAAAATGCAAAAAAACCTCATTAAAAACTTACTATTCCATTAAAAATTCCATTAAAATATTCCATTAAAAATTCCAGTACGCAACTACTCAAGCAAAACGAAACTATTTAATTCCAGTCTTATTTCTGATATACTGATTAATAAATTTTTAAATCATTTAAATAAGTTAAAATTATTTAAAATATGAAAAATTTAAATCATGAAAAATAAAGCTCAAAACTTCCAATAAATAATTAGCTCTTATTAAAGAATTATTTTAATATCACTAAACTGAAATAAGTAGAATGTTCACAAATATATATTTATAAATTTTAAGCTTCAAAATTCGAGTTTAAAAAATCGATAATCCGATAAAAACCTGATGACTAAGCAATTTTCCAACGATTTCCATAAGATTACGTGATATGCATGTAAGACCTTAATCCTTACAGAAAATTTTCAATCGATAAAAACTGCGAAAATTACGTCATATCTCGTGAATGCACCGCTTATCAATCACGCAGAGATGCCTGTGACCTTATTTTGCAGGCCCAGTGTGATTTCTTGTGTTTTTAGCCAGCGGCACTTGCAAAACCTAAACAAACGTGACAACCAAGAAAGGGAACCTGGAACAAGATTAGACTAACTTAGATGTCGGTTACAGACAAATGGGCACAAAGATTAAACATAGGCAAACGTATTGTCAGCGCGCTGAACGCAATCGCGGGGAACCTAAATCGCGACAACGGGGAACTCACCTGCTTATATGGGCCGTTCATCTTCCCGCTGGAGGGATCTTTCTTCCCATTACCTTTAAACACCTCCTCCAACATGTCGTCCACTTTCATATCCTCCGCATCCGACATGATCTACAAGCATCAATGATTCTACTTTTTGGAAACGGATAATCGCGATCGCGGATCACTGATGCTCATAGTTAATTTGAGTTAAAAAGGTAGCTTACCACGATCACAATGAAACGCTTCTTTAAACCCGATAAAATGCTAGAATCCTCTCCGCTTACGGGGAAGATTTGTCGGACACTAAGTGACTAATTAAAAATTTTTCAACGGACAAAAACAGTTCCACAACCAACAAACTTCGTGCCAACCTGCCGCTTGAGAATTTTTCAACTGCGTTGCAAACACGATGATCGTTTTCGTTTTCTGCTGAAGTTGCTTGGTGCTGTTACGCGTTTACAGCATGCGACCGGATGGAAAGGTGGCGCCACCGCACTGGAAGTGGAATAAAAAAAGAATTCAACACACTATTTCCCAGTAAATCGACCCCTGAACACAGTGAGCTACACCGAGAAATTGGCAGCTGCGCTAGCTTTTGTGCACGATGCACTTTGACACGGCGCAGCAGATGGTCCGTCTGTTGCCGTCGTTTGGATAAACTTATCGCGCTGCAGGGAATCGTTCAGACCAGCCGCATTTCAAAGGTTTGTTGTTTTTTATTTCGGTAAAATATTTATTTAGCTAATTTAAATTATAACACAAATAAAACCGATAAATCGGCATTTACCAAAATCGCGCAAAACGCACAAAACGCATAAGTAAATTTTGAATTTATTAAGTTGTTACACAATTTTCCAGTCCTTTCTTTCCAGGTTAATCAAACATTCTGAACAATAATCTACAAAATCAGTTAACACAAAATAAATCACAACAGTCCACGGTCAAGTATATTTTTAAGAGTAAAATAACTCGCATCACAGTAAAATGACAACCAAGAAACCGGAAACTACCACTTTCCAAATGGATACCACTTTCTACAAAAACAGTTTCAGCTATACAAACTATTTATGTGCACGCACTGAAAGCCCACCAGTATCCAAATTCCTTACATTTCAAATCAGACAGTCACAATACCAGAGAAGAAATAACGGAAACGGAAATACAACCGTTAAACAAAATGGAAACTGGAAATTTTGCTAATGGTAAGTTAAATCACCGTAGGAGTCTTCATGCCATTGCCGGTGCCTTCGGCCAGTTTGGCCATCAGCTGTCATCTCCCGGTCGGACCCAGGTCAAATCCCGCAGGGTCCGTGTCGTCATAGTTCAAAGAGCCCTGCGTGGCGTTGTCGTTGCGGTCCGTCACGTGGCCAATCTTCATGGCGCGTCCGGCCAATACGAAGCCATTCAACTGCTCCATGGCTCGCTTCGCGTCGTGCGCATCTCGGAACTGCAATATAGACATGCCGTCTGCCTGATGAATAATCCAAAATTTCCCGCATTTTAATGATACAATATATCATTAAAAATACTGGAAATTTTGCCTGAGCCTGAGTTATTTTTACAAATTTTATTTGTAAAAATAGCTCAGGTCTACTGTCAAGTTCTTACTGCCAGCAAGGCCGCAACTCAAGGTAATTCTAGAAAAATATTACTTACAGGTACATGATAGCAGCAAATAAAAGCAAAAATACACACTTTTTACTCTCACTTACTGAGATAAAAGCATATTCTTTCGATCGTCCACTCTCGGGATCCATCGCCAACTGCACACTGTCCAACTAAAAATGCCCATCAATGATTTGAAATTATTTAAAGAAACGTGATTTTGCGATGTCTGATCCGTTACATTTTGGTTTCAAAATGGCAATCGATTAATTAACCAATAAAATTAGGTAAATTAAAATTACTCCTTGCAGTTTCAAATATGCCACTGTTTTTTCTGAAATTATTATCTCAAAATTCCCATCGATTAAAATGAGACAAATCAGAACTCTTCCATTGATAATCCGCAAGCGCTTTCTTCCTGACAAATTTTATTAAACTCGCAAGTCATATCAATTTACCTTTCCAAATGGTTCAAAAATATCCTTTAACATAGCTTCCGTGATGTTGAAATGTAGCGATCCTACATACAGCCGCATCGGGCCGTTCTGCACGACATCAGCCGCTGCCATCGCATTACGCATCGGGCCGTTCTGCACGACATCAGCCGCTGCCATCGCATTTCACTTCTAGTGTTAAGCGAAGTGCTCGAAATTGCATGCGAAATAATTTCGATACCACCGAGTACTCGGAATTGAAATTCTGGTATTTCCAATTCCAAGTAATCTAAATGTATTTTTTAGATTTTCGAATACAATATTCGAAATTTAAAGTCAGTAATTTGAATCTGATTACTCGGAATTCAAAATGCAATAGTTTGAATTTCGAATACTCGAAATTTAAAATGCGGTGAAATAAAACTGAATATTCATCATTAAGACGAATTTTCAGAGCGCTAAAAGTTTAAAACTCTACTGTCATTCAATTATTAAAGTTAATTTGGTCATAAATGTTCAGTTATACTATATAATGTATCGCAGAACAACACTAGTTTGCGTAGTATGAAGTTTGATGGTAAGTACGTTATAACGGAAATTTAAATAAAAATTTTTATAGAAAACCGATTATTTAAAACGAAATGGCTGGGCGTCCCGACAAACCGGGCGCATAGAATTTATTTGTGCGCCCCGAGTGTTTGGGCGCACAGATTTTGGCTGTGCGTCTCGAATGTTCGGGCGCAGAAATATCAAAATTTCTGTTTTTCCGGCACTAGAATGTTTTAACTTAATTTTTTAACTCGAATTATCCTTAAGGCTGCAGGAGCAGAAGCTGAAGAGAACTGCAGAATTTGAAAGCCCTAATAGCTAACTTTTGTTTTGTTTATCCCTTTTACCGCCTGGTTTATTGGAAAGGTTGTTCAAAACATCACGGAATCAGTCTGAGAAATCCTGATTTTCTCCTTTACAGCAAGCTAATAAGGCAGGTATCAAGTTCTGTGAGTAACAATTGTTATAGGTCATCTAGAGCGGCACGGAAGTTCAACTTCACTCCATGCAGAAAACTGTAGCAAACTACATAGAATTAGCAACGGTAATTCCGGTTAACCCAGTGCAGGAAGCTGCAAGGCTTCACGACTTGGTTAACCAGTGTCCAGCCGAGAAAAGCCATTAGGTGTGTCGTTGGGATACCGGAAAAGCAATGCAACTATGATTGACGATTTCGCACAGCGAATGCACATCTGTGTTTAGTACCTTTAGTTGCTATTGTGTCGAAGTAAAGTTGATTTACATGTATCAAGTCGTTTTTCCCTGCTGCCCACCCTCTTTGCGAGGACACGGGGAGGGGTTGTTTTAGCTAGGACGACGGACGGCTGCGCTGGTGACCCGTGTTCCGGTGCTTTGTCTTCACCAAATGCTCAAATACCGATACATAAAGCCTAATCATTACGCTTCGTCGCTGTTGTTGCCGTAGCTGTGTTAACGCTAATAAATTCCCAGGTTAAGGCTGAGGCATATGCAAGCTGTCCTGCTTTCATGCGCGCTACAACCTTTACGGCTGTACTGTACTGAAGTGCTACTTCAGGACAGACACGATAGTTAGCAACTTTAATATTGCTTCTCCAGATTTTTATGGAAAGCGCATATTACCTAAAGTTTGGGTATGGGGGTGCATTCTGGTATCTTACCTCTTCAAGCAATCTAGCGTATTCGACAATACAACAGGAAAATGAGTGGTTAAATAAATAAAAGAAGCCAAACAAAATATAAAAAACCTCCGAAAAACACACAAATCGCCGATATTTCCGCACTCGAAATTCGGGCAAAAGCAAATTCTGTGCGCCCGGTTTGTCGGGGCGCATAGCAGTCACCTATTTAAATTCATATTAGGTATTTGCTGCAATTCCGAATACTCGGAATTGGAATGTCGGAAATTAGATTTCGAATACTCGCAATTAAAACAGCGCCCTTCTAAATTGCGATTACTCGAATTGTAATGCATGCAATTGCACCTGATTACTCGGAATTCAAACGGTAGTGTATTTGAATTTCGAATACTGAAATTTATTTTAGATTGGAGCACTTCCGGCAACATTACGAGTCACTTCCACCGGAATGCCCGACGATTCCCTGCGGACAGACGGGCGCGTGGGATGAACCGATACACATGATACGCATGAATCGATACACCGATACGCATGTTCAGTTAACACAAAAATTACTCACTGAAGACTTCTGTACTTCTGACTCGCTTCTTCCGCAAGTTGCAGCACTTTCCGGACATCGGCGGCAGCGACGTCGTAGTTTATCAGACCGACAACGCTGACAGTTCCCGGTTTGTGGCATTTTTTGGCCAGAGATTTCCTTTTCATAGCAAAGAGTACCTGCACAATTTCACAATTATTTCAAATACTTAACGTTTCTAATTATAAAAAAAATAGCTAATGTAATAAACTTAACCCAATAACTCAACTTAAAAAGCCTTGCAAGCTACATAAATCTAAGCCAATTTTTTATAAAATATTGCATCATAAACAGAAAGGTGAGAAATTCTAAATAAAAGTAACAGCTGCTGCGTATTTTTAGCTACAACAAACCGGAATGTCGTGCTCCTTTGCAAATTCTTTAATTTCTAACAACAGCGCATCGGGTCCGTTGGGCTGTTCCGTCACTTCGACATCCGGCGCCAAAATAACCAAGCGGATCTCCTTGCGTTCCAGATTCTTCCGTACGTCTCGCAAACCACAAACAAATCGTTTCTTGAATTTCGTCGGATCCTGCGTGCGGAAGGCACGATCCTGATAGAAAGCTACCGCTTCCAAAATTAATCCGACCAACTGGTCAATTTCCGGTGTAACAATCTGATCGCAATATGGTGCAAATCGCTTGCTGTGCAGGCATTTCTTTGGCTCGATTGTGGATGAGGAAATAGCTCCGTCCAAAGTCGCAGTAGGCATTGCGGAAAGGGATTCCGGAATTTGCTCTGCAAATAAAGGGTATTAAAAAAAACACTAAGCAGTAATAACAAAATCATGATCAACAAACACATTAAAATTTAATTATGATAAATCAACACAATAAATAATGATTAAATAAACAGAATGTTATGAACACGATAAATTTACGGTTGTTCTATAAATTAATTAAAACGATAAAAAGCAACAACAAAAATAAAACACTAAATAAACCGTAAAAACTTAAATTACTTAACAATATATTAAAAAAATTAATAAGCGAGAAATTACGTTCAGTACACCTTCGGCTTTTGCCAGTTGGTTCTGTTTTCTGCTGGTCAGGACGGCTTTCTTCATGGTGGAGGGCTTCTTGGGTTTTGCCGTCTCTCTCTCCTTGCCGCGCATCCTAGTCGGAGCGCTGGCATCGAGCGCATTGGCGATGGCAGCGGCTTCTCTGGCTTTCACCGGAGCGGGGCCGGTGCCGGGAGCGGCGTGGAGAGCCGCTCGCGCTTTCTTCTCCCTCTGCTGGATGCTGGAGTGTTCCAGCAGCACACCCAAATCCAGCACGGGCTTCTGAGCCGATTTCTTCCCTACCGGGGGCTCAGTCAGACTGGCAGGATGGCGATCCAGGACGGGTACAGGCAGGGGATCCGGCGGCGGAAGGCGGACATGTTCACCCAGTGCGGGATATTTTTGTGCGTCTACAAGGGAACAACAAATAATGATCACAAAAATAAACAGAGAATAAGAAAATCGTTACGATAAATAAACAATAAAGTGTTCAGTGTCCAAGGTGTATTTAAAAATAACCAGCAACAAGAACAATAGAACACTAAATACAATTAATTAACATAATATTAATTAATATAATTTTAGTGAATATAATACTAATCTCAACAAATATAAATAAAAAAGTTAAAGGGATCGAGCTACCGAGCAGCTAGAAAATCAAAAAGAAGGACCACCAACCGAGCGCTAATTTTCCAACCGCAGTGGGCAGCGACCAAGCGGATTTGGGTTTGATTTTCTCAAGGATTTGCGGAGGAGATCGCATTGCTATAAAACAATTCCGTGATTAAATTAATCAACAAATGAAGTTATAATAATTAGTTATTTAGCAGTATAGCCCACATTACTCTACTGTTTTTCTGACCATTCTTCTTCGCTTCTGCTGCTTCCAGGTCCCACCAATCATCCGACGAACTGTGCCACGGCATCTGCGTATTTTTCGTTCAGAATTTGCAGCGAAGAATAAGAGAGCAAACCGCACGTCAGAGAAATTACAGTTATTATAGTAAGTACACCAATGACATAACAAAACAGGAAAAAATTGAACGAAACGGTGTCGTCTGAAAATATCGCAAAATGCAAACCTCACTACGGGGCGATCGAAACTTTCAAACCCAAGTAAAAAAGCAAAACCGAAGCTATTTGATCTGATCAAAAATAGCCTGAAATTCCAGATAAGTTTGATAAAACAATAACAATGATGATCCGCTGAAATTTTTCCAGTGCGATAAAGTTGGATAAACAAAAATTTGCCAAAAACTGATTCTCAATAATTAAAATGCTGGAAACAGGAAAAGTAAAATTATTGTAAAAACCAAAATAACTTTAACGCGTGAAAGCGTTAACTTTAACGCGTATGCCAGATGCCTTATGGTTAGGAGCAGAAGTGAAAGTCGAAATCGAAGTCGACAGTATACACCGGGTATCAAGCGCTTGCGCCGTATCAGTATCGCCGCTACTTTGCTTAACTAACGCAGTTTGAACTCTGCTGACTCGGTGGTTCCCTGTAGCAAAGTGCTGCACAGGCTCGAATCGCGGTCAACCAAGCGCACTGCTTTTGTCTGCGCTGCGACATCAGACGTTAGATTTTATGATTTTATCGCTAAAATTATTTTTTATCCAAAACTCTTGGGAAAATTAATATCCTGCGCTTTCATAGTATTTTGATTGGTGAAAAAAATTCGAAGGGCTGCCTTCCACGTTTCATTGGTCGTGCTGCCATTTTAATCGATTTTTCTTCGGATTTACTAATTTCTCCACAATGAGCGCAACGTCACGGCCCGTACGCATCAACGTACCACGACGCACCGTTGCCAAAAATTCTAATTCCAGCAAATCGACAGCCAAGGTTTCGGTTCTTTTCTTGTTTCTTGTAGACATACTGCATGTTTTCTGGTTTCGATACATTTTGTAATTTTTCTTATTTTTTGGTCAATATAATTTTTTGATGATCCCTCCTTGGATTTGATACTTTTTAATAAGATGGTAAAGCTGTGCTACAGATTTGCGCTCATTGCGATTTTCGTTATCTTTCAAATTTTGTGTGGATTTCTGGGAACTGTCTGCCAGTTTAAACAATTCCTATTGACAAGGAAATTGTGATCTGTTGTAGGATGGTGCAGTACGCAAGAGTTCCATGGAGGAGAACGTTCCCCCGACGAAACCCGGGTCTGTACGCTCGCGATCCATCATGCCCTCCTCGTCAGCGGTTCCTAAGGTTCCTTTAAAATCGTCCGCTCCCCGCCAAGTACAGACGGTGGCCAAGCCTTCAGCCGTGCCCAAACGGCCCGTATCCATCCAGAAACCGGCCGATGAAAAGGACCGTCATCCCAAAATTCCCCTTAAACCGGAGACCCAGAAACCCGCGATGAACGCTGTGGCTGCGGGTCCGTCCATGCAGAAAGAACCACTGGCTCCGGATAATGCGCAGATCGCCAGTAAACCACCTAAAAAGCTCACGTAAGGGATCCGAATTGGTAGTGCATTTGCTGAACGGTTTGGGGAATTTGTAATATTTTTAAAAGAATTTATTGCGTAATGTTGACAGGATTTGCGAAACTCCTTTGATAGATTATACTCGTATTATAGAAGTAATCGTATTAATTTGCAGAATAAATATTAAAGTCAGTTGCTGTTTTGTCTTTTAAAGGGAGCAGGGAATATGCATTTGCTTTAGCCTGATATGGTAATATATTGAATGCTTATGCTAATATTCTTGAATTACCAATATGTGTGATGCTGTTGTTTTTTTCATTTTTGTTATCATTACGGTGATTACTGATTACACATTATGACTGTTAATAATTCGCGCCATGTACGAAGCAGTTTTATTTGCGGAATTTTTAATATAGTGTCTTGTTGTTTTCATTTTACGTTTGAGACACTTTAACTTGTTTTACGTACTTCCACATATATATTTTTGCAGAGATTGGCAGTTGACCGATTTTGATTTGGGCCGTGTTCTGGGCAAAGGAAAATTCGGCAAAGTCTATCTGGCTCGCGAGAAGAAGAGTCGGTTTGTGGTCGCTCTGAAGGTTAGCAGTTGATTTAACAAAATAAGCTAGTGTTTAATAATTGTATTCCCAATTATGACATTAGTACTTATTGCTCCGGTAATAGCCGTACATATAAGCACTGCTGATACCTATTTGCTGTTTTGCACTTCAGTTGGCACTGCCGTTTTTTTAATTTTAACAGTTTTCCGATGCGGTTCTGCAGCGAATGCGCCTATCGTGTGTGTGTTATTTTATTAGGTTATGCACAAGAGCGAACTGAAAAGCAATAATGTGGAACATCAGCTACGAAGGGAAATTGAGATCCAGACGCATCTCCGGTATGAGCTCTCGGTGTTTAGTTTTTTAATAGTAGATCCGAGTGTTTTAACACTTTAACAGGTTGATAATGTTGCGAATGCCTCAAAAGTTTTCCTTTCATAATCTTGTTAAATATGCTTAATTAAATGCGCTACTCTAGACATTGTACCAGATGACCGCTTGCAAATACTCTGCGGTAGTAGCTTCCATTTCCGTGTTTTCCTCTCCAGACATCCCCACATTATACGTATGTACGGCGTTTTCCATGATACCTCGAAGATCTATTTAATTCTGGAATACGCTCCGAATGGGGAACTGTATAAACTTTTGGAGCACAAGGGCCGGTTTTCGGATACGGAGGCCGCTACGGTAACCAGACCTGGGCTGAAAATTATAAAATATTTTGCAGTTGGGAAACGGAATTAGTTGGAAAATTGATATTACTCGTACCTGCGTTCTACTAGCAACACTTGCTCTTCTCGCTGGCCTGTGATAGTTTTTTTTTAACTTTTTGTTTTGTAAAATTGCAGTATGTTTACGAGTTGACAACGGCGCTGATGTACTGTCACGAGAGAAAGATCATTCATCGGGATATCAAGCCGGAGAATTTACTGCTGGGCATTTATGGCGAACTGAAAATCGCCGACTTTGGCTGGTCGGTCCATTCACCCAGTTCCAGGTATACCTTCTACTTACCTTACAATGATAGGTCGAAAATAATATGTGGAGTGCAGTACATATTGATAAATTTTTCCGACCTCGACGATCCATATCAGATCATCACTGCGGCTAATACAGTACTGTAATTCCGAATGTCAGTTAAAATAAATATGCGGCTATAAGAAATGATGTATTTTAAAATGTATCATTAATTATTGGTATGATTTAATTTTAACGTTATATTTTTAATTTTAATTTGTCTCAATTTCGCGTGCTTCTTTGGTGAGCTATGTTGAGTTCTTCTTGAATGTAATTTTCACCGAATGTAATGCTGACCTGTGGCTTTGCTGGTAGGCGGGCCACCATGTGCGGCACTCTTGACTATCTGGCACCGGAAATGGTGGAGGGGAAATCGCACGACGAAAGCATTGACATCTGGTGTCTGGGCATTCTGACCTACGAGCTCCTCACCGGCCGGGCACCCTTCCACGTCAAGGATAACGAGGGTGGCCAGATGGAAACCGCCAGGAGGATCTCCCTCATGGATTACAAATGTCCGGATTTTATGAACCCTGATGCTGTTGATCTCATCCAAAAGGTCAGTATGGCTTTTTTTTCACATCTTAACTTTCAAAATGTGACATCAGCATCTTTCTTTTTCTGGCGCAGCACCCGAAGAAATTTACGAAGACATTTAATTCTGAGTGTTTTTTAATTATAAGCTTTTAAGTTTTTTAATTATACTTTATTATTTTTCTTAGTTAATCATGCATTGCATTAGTTTTACTAGAGTAGTGTTACATGTTCCTTTCGTTATGATTTTCAGTTTAGGCATTCGCTATGGATGGATTTATACAGTACAGTAAAGGAGATTTACTTTTCATATTAATTTCGTAAATTTTTATTATTATTTTGTTGCCTTGTTATTAAAAAATTTATTGCTCTTAATAATTTTGTAAATTTGCCATCTCGTTAATTCAGCCTTGTAATTTGTCATCTTGTCGATCATTTTTAGCATAGTTTGCACATGTTTGTTTATTTGTATGACGGTTGCTGTAAGTGTTATAATGTGCGTGATTTACTCCTTTATTGAATTCGTTTTCTTTGCAGTTACTTGTTTATATTGGAGCCCATCGTCTACCGTTGGCACAAGTGCTGAAGCATCCGTGGATCGTTAACAACAAACAGGAACGCAGTCGCATCCTGAAAATTTAAGCTGACCGCTCATCCTACACAACTGCTCATCAGCATATACCGTAATAACGGGCGGGACACAGGTGTACAGCGGCATATTTCTCTGTGTGTAGTGTATGTAAATCACTCGGGATGGGCGTTGGGTGTTTCCCTTTTTAGTTTCCACTACGATTTTCTCTTTGTGATTTCTAATAATTATTCGTTGGCGGGATACACATGTACACAGGTCTTTTTGTTGTTTTTATTTGTCTGTATTCTATCTATATTTAATGTATAAATGAACGCGACTATTAACGTGCGATGATAAGCTGCTGTACAGTGTTTTCATCGTCCGTGTGTCGATGGAAATATTCGTTTTACTGACCCTGAAATATAAATCGATGGCATTGTTAAAGTATCGTGCGCCGCATGCGTTACATACTGTATCTCTGGGACATAATATCTACATACTTGTTTAAACACAACCGGCACTCGTTCAAACTGTGAGGTTGTGACCGGCGGAATGAACTGCATGCATCGTGTTGTGATTGCACTGCAGTGTTTTCAACACGCCACGCGAGTTGCATTTACGACGCATACATTCAACCGAAACTAGGCAAGCTCTCTGTAAAGTTTCAGTGTTTCAGCATCCTAATCTTATCTGCAAAGTATTCTGTCAAGTGTTTCGACAATCTTCGCCGTCGATTAAGAGTATATTGGTTTCATTAAAGTATCAGGCTTAATTAATTTTGTAGAGTTTGACGAACCGTTGTGTTTGTATCGTCAGGGCAGATGTCGAGCATTTAGTTTTTCATATCAAGCGACTTTGCATGGAATGTGACGACAGAATTCCACTTGAACCGGTTTAGAATTTTTTGTTTTACAATACTGTCGATACCATGTCGGCAACACTGCCTGTGCTAAACTACACGATCGATCTCAATGATCCCATCCCCGGCGTTAAGCACGTTGTGGCCGCGTTCTGTCCGTCCCTTCCCACCGATCACTTAGATTTAAAAGTGAACGTTTTGAGCGGCGGTTACATGAACCACATGTACAAAATCTTCGCCGCCACCGATGAACACGGCGAATCCGTCATCGTGCGCATCAACGCCGATATCGTGGGAAGTCTGTTCGATCGCGAAGAGGAGTTCCGTCTGGTGTTCTATATGTACCAAAAAGGAATGTACGGGAAGATTTACGGGAAATTCCAAAACGGTGTTGTCTATGAATTTATCAAAGGCCGTACGTTGACGTTGGCGGACATTCAAGAACCACATATAGCTCGGTAAGAAACGGGAGAATGTCGTAGTATAACGGCTCTACTGTTCAACGCCGTTTCTCCAGCTGATGTTAACACTATAAGTGCACATACTCAACAGGATATGTAGTCGTATTTGGGACGTGGTATATGGTATAAAGCAGTACTGAAATTTTTTATCTTGAGAATTTTTTTTGCAGCTTGTTAGCCCAAAAATTTGCCGAATTCCACGCGATTAGCCGCGATTTCCCGGGAGTCAAGACACCCACCCACCCCAGAGATTTCTGCTTACCGATACTGAATCGTTTGCCGATCAAATATAAAGATCCCCAAGCGACTCTGTTAGCTTACAAATTATTCCCGGATGTGGAGGAACTGCAAGAGGAATTTCAGTATCTGCTAAATCATCCCAGCATGCAGAACATCTATGCCGATCAGCCGGTGGTGTTCTGCCATCATGACCTTATTCCCAACAACATCATCTTCGACGAAAAAACCGACACCGTTCACATCATCGATTATGAATTCGCCGCGTCGGGATACCAGATCGAAGATATCGGGACGCACTTCTCCGAATTTATTGGTCAGTTTGTAGATCTGATGAAGCGAAAATATCCGTGACTTTTTGGTACCAAAGTGAACTCGGGATCAAAGCAAGGCCTTATTTACAGAACTTTATTTTCGCAGGCATGGATGTGAATACAATGGATGCGTCCTTGTTGCCCAGTCAAGAATTTCAGCTGAAATGGATCAGAATTTACCTGGAGACGTGGAATGAATTTACCGCGGATGGTCGCGCAATCAGCGATACCGAAGTGTGGAATTTCTATGTCAACGCTAGCCGGTACAGTTTGGTAAGTCGGTTCAGTGCAAAAATGCTTTTTCAGATGTGGTCGGAAACCTGTGTCAAAAAAGAAATGTCGCCTTTCATGTATCCCATGCATATTTCGGGCTTCTGTATTTTGTACTGACAAATTTCAGCTTTGATCTGATATTAATTTTGCAGTTGAAAAATTGGTTTATCATCTGCTTCGTTCTGGCGTCGGAGGAGCACAATCCTGACTACATTGCTCAAGCGAAGCGATTAAAATGGGACTCTTTCGAGTACGACAGATTTAGTGCCTACATACACATTTTACAGAAAGCGTTAAACTTCCAAGTTAACATGGCATTTTACGAGCATTCTGACCGAATATGTCGATAATATAATGCTATCAACGACGGTACGCAGTCTAAACTCTTGACCTTTTTGTACAGTTGTGCTTTGTTGGTTCACAGATATGCCAAGAAGAAACTGGATATTTATTTGCAATACCGGGATAAAATTTTGGCGCTGGAACTTTTACCATCGTTATAGCTTTGCATTTCCTTGCTTTCATTGCTGACCAGTTACTCTTTATGCTCCGTGCAAAGCACATACATGTAAACAAGCCCTACAAAATGCAATGTACTCGTAGCTGCAATCGAACTAAAGCGTTTTGTTGCATGGCTTATTACAGGTCGATCGCACCAAGTGTGGGCAGTAACAAAATATTCCCATTAGCTACCGTTGAACCACATAATCGTTTTCTATTTTTTTATGATAGTTTGTGTTCTAGAGAAACGTTTTTAGTCATATTTCTGCGGCAGAAGTTAATACGCACGGAACGGAAGCGGAATTTTTACATTCACATTTGCCCCAAAACTCGCACTGCTTAATAGGAAATATTCACGTCCAGTCAATAATTTTTAAAAATTTTGGATGCGTGAGAACTATCAAAGAATATTGTGGTTTTCTAGTGATCCTTTTCTCACGTCCTTTGAACCAATAACATCTGACCCAACGTGATCCGCGCTCTAGGCAACCACATTCTTCGGATGGTAGCTTTTAACATATAAGTCTATGGGAGACACTTTGTTTGTTATACCGAGCGCTGTGCGCTCCAGAATCTTTTGCTACCCCTTAACGAATTCCTTTTAAAGCCACTCCATGGTTTACAAAAGGTTTGTAGAAAACATCAGATGCTGAATTTTTTGAGAAGGGCGGTTGCAATCATTAAAAAACTGACCCCTACCCTCCCATTGCCCCGCCCTACTCCATTCTGGACGCATCAACGGATTTCAAGTTTGACATCACTGAATCCGCAATAAAAAGTTGCACTAAATAAGATGAAAGTAAACAACAAAATTGTTTACAGACTAATTTTTCAAATTATTTTACTCAACTGCCCACACTTGGTGCGATCGACCTGTACATTTGCGAGAAGACGTGAACGAGATCATTGTACAACGGGATGAGAAACTCCGACGCGCGGTACAGTCAGGGCCTCTCTCTGAAATTTTGAGATGTCTCAATTTCGAGACGGCCTCCCTCTGAAATTCTGAGACTTACAAAAATTACAGTACTCTGTCAACCGGATTTCGCAAAACGAAAATAAAACCGATACCAAATAGCCTTTTTGCGCTATTTGGTATCGGTTGAAATTAGTGCTGCGTATCTGTAGTGTGTATGGATGAATTAAATTAATTAGGCTGTTGAATGCGCAGCCAGTAAAATCAATGGACCATGTGGGAACTACGGACCGACAGGGAATAAGGTCAGAGCTGACAAAAGAGCATGCTGTTCCAACAGATATGTAGCTGGGAAAAAAGGTCAGAAGTTCAGTTAGTGCAGCGCTTTAATACCCTTGCACAGCGTGCTACGGCGTTGCAAACCATCAGTCTTTTGGTTGAGCAAGACGGAACTGCATAACTTTTGAATGAGCATCCTGCATGACTCTCGCATCTAAACTTAAAGTCTGAAAACCATAGTGCAACTTTTAATCTAGTTTTTGCATTATCGCCCTTTTTCAAGCATACAATCCGTCACGCTACTATTCGCTTATACATCGTTTGTAAAAATATTCCGATGAAGTGGTTTAACTTACGTTTCCAAGTTTTTCTGGTTTCTTATTCTTAGACTCTCGTGTGAGGTATATTACTTATAATTTTCTTATACCGACGCATTAACACTTACTGCACATACATATATGTACCATGAATACTGTGAAAGAGCGTCTAACAGATCGGGAACAAGTGCCGTTCACTGTGGCGTGGACCATTGAGAATTTCAGTACATACGAGGGACGAACGGGACTGATGTACAGCGATGGGATTACCCTGGCGGAAATGGGCTTTGACGGCAGTTATCAGGGTCGCTGGCGTATGGTTATTGATACTTGCCATAAATACAAGGATCGCTATACCAAGGAGGACGTGGAATGCTGGGCGGCTTCCCTATGCATGACCGACACGAGTATACACTCCAGACGTTACACTTGGCCGCACGTTTTGGACGCAACTTTCAAGATAACGTATGACGGTATTTCAGTAGACAACAGATCTAACCAGCAAGAATTAGCAATTAATGCTTAAAATTAACTTTTCTATCAGTGATTTATGAGCCTGCATTTCTGAATGTCTATACTGGAAATCGCCGAAAAGCTACTTACTCGACTCTAAATGTTCCTATAAGTAGAAATTTAGCATTTAGGATTTTGATTCGTAAGTGCAGAATAAGGAAGCACTTCACTAACTTGTTGTACATGTAGCTAGACGCGCACGTAGCGCTTGATGAGGCAATAATTTTTTTTCTTCTTTGCTTTTCTTAACATTGTTTTGTGTGCAAATTTTCATAATCGTGGCAGAGTCTACTGGTAGGTAATGGATACAAATACACCGATTGCCCATAATTCCTATAATTTTCTATGTGGTACGTATAAAAGGTTTTTACATATATTAACGTAGTATTTGTGTAATTGTGTAAATTCCAGTTAATATTGAAAATGAGATATTTTAAAATACGGCCGTCAGTACAGGTGTCACACAAGTCGGTATGCTACCAGCAGTGGTCACTGACCACTGGTCAGGCACCGGCCGGTATCTAGCTGAGTGATAAGTTTGAAACAGAGTTTCATCGACTGAGCGCATTAAACGTCTTCTACCTAAATATCTTATTAGGCAATACTAATTTTTCATCAATTTTCGCCCAGTACCGCTGGCCAATTCCAGAAATGTAATCTCGTGCTGATAGTCGGTCATTTTACTTACAAGTACATGTAGCTTGAAAAGACGGCAAGCTGCTGCGCTCGGCCATGTGCATGTACGCCAACATGCGTTTTCCTAATCTAAAATAAAATTTTTGTGACATAATTCCCACTCTGCGGAGATGTTTCAATAGAAATAAAGAGAATTTACTGTTTTCGGTTGTTCTATCAAGAGTTCATGGGGAAGCCGGGTAGAGTTTTTATACAAATGTTGCTCTGATAACGCTTAAGTGATGGCGCTTCCTCATAAACGTTCCATAATATTTTACAAACAATAATTACTCAGCAGAAAGCATCCATGATTTTGATTACACAGGATGACTACTGGAAGGACAACACAGACTCTTATGAAGACATACTGCTGGGATGAGGCAGCCGGACAGACTTCCTCCTCGAGATCTAGCAACGACTACAAGTGGAACATTGTTCACAGCTATGACGAACGATGCTTTCGGTACCACAAGCGTACAAAAATTGAGGACGATTGTGTCACTTTCACCATTACAGCGGTACTGCACCGCGATTCACGACGCGTGCGAGTGGTGGAACCAGCTATTCCGAGAGCACACGAAGAGTCTAAGTGTGTGTCCAAATTCTTGCATCGTCAGATAGACGGTTACCGCTCCCAACAGCACCAAAAAACCGCCGATTTCGTTATTCGCTCACAAGAGGGCACCGAATTCCATGCTCATCGCTATCTCCTGATGGCCCAGTCGCCGATCTTTGCCGCTATGCTGACGCACAATTCCCGAGAGAAGCAGCGGTCCCGCTGTGAGCTGCAGGACGTAGATGGCGAAACTGTGCAGCTGCTGCTGGATTACGTGTACGGTTGCGACACTGGCAAAATCACGAAGGACAACGCGGAGAAGGTGCTGATTATGGCGGATAAATATGAAATGATGGATCTGCGTGGGCTTTGCGAGCAGACGTTGGCGGACAGTATTTCCGTGGAGAAAGCGTTCCCATATCTGGTTTTGTCGGTCCAGCGCGGACTAGATGTTTTGAAATCGGCGGCACTGCGCATGATGCCGAAATATCTGGATGCAGTGCTGAAGGGGAAAGGACTGGAAGAGGTCATGCAGTCCGATCCCGAACTGATCCAGGTCTTCATGGATTACTGCGCGAAAAAGCTTCCTCAAATGTAGTTATGATTAGCCCGCATTATACCCTGCAGTGCCCTTTTATTTTTATAAATTCGATCATTATACAGATACAAGCTGGAAAGTGGAAACACTTTATTAATTAACTAAATTCTTTTACATATGTTGTCATTCTGTTTCCATGATAATGATGATAATGCTGATTTTCACTTTCGCTTTATTCCGTTGAAGTATTTTCGAGTTGGTTTCTTTTTCGCTAAGGTTATCTTTATCACAGTAGAAAATTTGCTGGCAAGGAAAGCAGCTTCTATCATCTTTTTAATTTACATAAGCGTTTATGTTAAATTTTTCTGCTAGTAGACAGCTATCATTTTGTTGTTCTGATTGTGAAAATTACAGCGGGTTGTACATCCATGTAGATCATTTCACTTGTTCTCTTACGGTTAGCACCAGCAACAAGTATAGGCTTGTTCTCTTTCTAAGTTTGTTTCTGGAAATTTTTTTTAGTCTTTTGAAGTCGAGCCCTCGACTCGACAAATTAAATTGTAGATTACGAGCTTCTACGTACTTGCTTGCCACTTGAATGGAGCAGAGCAGTAGGTCTATTTTTTAGCACAAATTAAAAAATCAGTTGTTGACGATATGGATGCCATGACATAACATGTAATTTTTCTCTGTCGATTTGTTATTTTTATGACGTTTTGCGTATGCATTACACTGTGCACGTTACACCGCGCAGATTTAATAGGCGAGGAAGAAAAATATTGCAGTTGATGTGCAGCGTACATTTGGTGTCCTTCCGTAGGGATCCCGTTTTGGGGCCTCTGAACTTTCCATTGTAGACACTGTATCAAGTTATCAACACAATCAAGTTCTGCAAGAAAGTTCATGATTTCCATTTTGACTGTATTTTGACTTTTCCACCCGTCCAAGTAAGTAATCCTAATAAATAAGGATGATCCACTAACTACCTTAATTGTCGGAACATATCAAGTGGACAGTATAACAACACAGGTTTAAAAAGGAACTCTAACTAGTATAAGGTCTCATACGACCTTAGGGCAAGCGGGCGGCGGTTTTGAAGTTAAAATGTATAAGGCAACGAATGTGTTAAGCATTAACACGTAAGCTGCAGAATCAGCCTTACAGATTTGGGCTTTTAGTTGTACTCGTACATCAAAAGCCTCATTATGATGCGCATAAATATGTGACCCGTTTTTATACCAAACAACTTTTCAAGGAATTGTGTTGTTCTGAAACACATTGAGAAATAATAAAAATTATTTTGAAGCTTGGAAAGAATACCGAAACTGTAGTTCCGCCACTTCCGCGTAAAATCTCCCCGACCGGTTGTTGCGCACACAAAACGCGTTCACGCTCGAGTACTATACGGATAGAATGTAATTTCGATGGTTTTTTTAATTATTTATAAAGCCCTATGGAAATACGATTAACATCTCATTCTATAACGGCAGTATACAGCATCATCAAAGTTTTTTTGTCGGAGTTTTGCATACGTCGGAATTTCTTTCTAGTATCGTGTGTTTCCAGTTTCATTCGACTATAAAGTGTTTTACTAATGAATAACATAGATGCAGAATTGTCCCAGAAAAAATATACAAATTAGATTCTGTTTTGAAAATTAACTGCACAGTGCAATAAATTAACTGTGAAGTTTTAGAAATTCATTAAAAAGTGCAAATTTAAATTTAACGTGTAAATAACTTTTTCCAAATAAAATTTATTAATTGATTTTGATTTGGGCAGCGATCGGAAAGTCAGAAAAAATATTTAAATTTCCATTTCAAAATTCATAAATTATTTTACAATTTAGGATTTTTAAAAAAAATAATTAAACAGCTAGAAAAATTGTTAACTTTTTATTTATTTTAATGAGAGTGAGTTTTATCTAATCTTTATTCATCCTGTAACACTGACAGTTAAATTTTGTTGCGAATCGCTTTTCAGCATTGGATACCTCATTCTGTGCAAATGGATGTAAATGAAATATAGGAAAATAAATTCATTGAAAATGATATTATTATATCAGTGTTTTTGCGCCAAATTTTTGAAAGCCAAATTAATGCCTCAGATATTATTCGTTGTGAGCTCTGGCTATTGTACCCGACAGTGCTGAAGTGGATTTCGGATTTCGGGTAGCTACTCAGATTTAACTGGCTTTTTGAGATAATTAAATCTACACATCTGAAGTATTTTGGCATCCATATTTGGCTATTCGAATGTCTTCGTATTTAGCTGTTCTGATATTCGTATTTTCACCGACCATGATAGTCAGCTGTTCGCAGATTCGGTTATCTGTGTCGCTTTTAAATTATTTTGTTATTTTGTTTAGGTTTCTTAACATTTTAAACAATTTAAAAAAATGTAAAAATGTTAAGTTTCCAGAAAATAAAAATTTTGCATGTTTAGGTATTTAGGTGTAAAACATTTTGGTGCTCAAGAATTTAGGTGTTTAGATAATGAAGTGCAAAGATAATTACGATTGCAAGTTCAGTTTTTAGGTATATATTCAGAGACTGTAACCATGAATCTGAATATCCAGTACTGTAATTGAAAGTTTAAAAGGTTTTTCAAAAAATTAGAAATATTTAGAAATATTTAGAAATATTTAGAAATATTTAGAAATATTTAGAAATATTTAGAAATATTTAGAAATATTTAGAAATATTTAGAAATATTTAGACATATTTAGACATATTTAGAAATATTTAGAAATATTTAGAAATATTTAGAAATATTTAGAAATATTTAGAAGTATATTTAGAAATATTTAGAAATACAGTAAAACCTGTGTAATTTGAACACCTACGGTTCCTTCAAAAGTGTTCAATTTTATAGACTGTTCAATATTTGCAGTAGCGGTATACGAGACGCGCCGGTTATACGGTCGTCAATATTCACAGTTGTTCAATTTTCGCTGTTATTCAATCTCAAGAAGTTTACTGTATTATAAAATTTATTTTAAGCATTTAGATTTTGATCATTATTTTGAAAAAGCATAAACATAAAAGTTATCTTGACGATCCCGTTCGAAGTACTCAAATACTTCCGTTCGACCCGGTACGTCAAACTGTGCATATACAGTACATATCATTTCGGCGGCCTCCGGGACCCGGGTTCGAGGTCTCCGGGTACTTCAGTTTGACTCAGGATGTCAAACTCTATAGAAATCACGATGAAAATCATTGGCGACCCAAAGGTCACTCGGCGACCCAAAGGTCACTCGGCGACCCAAAGGTCACTGTCACTTCCGTTACATCGAACCCTCAACATGTCTTGAATTAGAAATGCGGGCTCGCTTCGCTCGCCCGCTTGAATATTTTACAGTACAGAGTAGTTAAGCGACTTTTACCGTACAGCAGACCCCATCGATTAATGTTTATTTTATAAACACACAAGGATGCGCACTATACGAAATGTGTGCAGCAGTGCAACTGTACAACGAACAAACCACGATTTTGCAGTCTGAAATTAATTAGAATCCGCATTTTGTAATTTTTACTTTGTGCCAGCATAGCTTTCAGTTTTTGCCCATATTTCGACAATCTTCGCAACTGATTACGAAAACAGTACATAGGTACTCGTGTATCAATTATCAAGCTTAATAAATTTCCCTTTCTGCGAATTATTGAACTTGTCGTCTGGCACGGATGCGTGAGAATTTTCACACAGATCACACCCCGTATTCACGAATTTCATTTCAAATGTATTGTACCAACACAAATGCAACCTGGAGCATTATCCAGATAAATTTTAGTTGCTGGCCTATGAATGTGTTATTAGCACTGGCACTACCCGGCCATAACCTACACGATCGATTTCAAGAATCCCACTTCCGGTGTCATTCAAGGCGTGGCCGCTCTTTTTCTTATCATTTCTTCCGGTACCGATCATTTAAAAGGGATAGTAATGGCCGACGGAAGCCCGAAGCACATTTACGAAATCTCCGCCATCGATATCTGTAAAGCTCGGCGGATCCATTATAATTATTATTGTGTGCACCAACGCCTGTTCGATCGTGAAGAGGAGTTCCGTCTGGTGTTCTATACGTACAAAAAAGGGATATGCGGAAAGATTACCGGAAAGTTTCAAAATGGTATAGTGCACGAATTTATCAAAGGCCGGACGCTGACCTTGGCGGACATTCGATACTGTAGCTCTGCACTTTCTTAGTTTGATTGTTGATCGGTGTCTGAGCATCGGTTATGCTAAGTGCAAACTGCAGTATTTGTATGTATCTACAAACAAGTCCAACGAAATGTAATTGCAGTCAAACGCAGTCAAACTAAAGCGTTTTGTTGCACAGCCTATTTTCGAGAAAACGATGAGTAGCGTTAACACGTTCAGTGTGCTACGGAATGAAAAGCCCCGAAGGGCGGTACATTCCACCCAGCTTTTGCAACACGGCAGTTTGATTTGCCATTTGCGCTATTCGGTATCTGTCGAACTGAATGCCTCATGGTACGTATGTGCGAATTTGACTGGGTAGTGTTTGCTGGCTGAGCAGTCAGTAAATCAGCCAGTCAAACAGGATCTGCGAATTAATAGGGAAGGTCAGCAGCAGTACCGACAAAAGGTCAATCAATAACGTCAGCAACAGTACCGACAAAAGAAACGATTATGCTGATCAAACGGATATTTACGAGTATCTCGTGACAAGGTCATAAGTTCAGTTAGTGCAGCGCCGGAATCCTTATGCAGAGATTGTTCGCGGCGTGTCAAACCGGATTATCTTGTTGCAGAAGGATAAAGCTCTGTATACTAAGAAAGGACCCTGCGCTAAAAGCTCTCGTGCTTTATTATGATTACTCGTATGGTAGTTTACTCGAATTTCGAACCGTCTTTTATTAGGCATATATCACTACATATTCGTATTATTATCGGCGTATAATACTGCCATTCATGATTTGTACGAATACTCAAAGGGTCAGTTTACGCTTCGATAATAATAGCATATTGTTAGATATTTATTTCTTGCTTGTGTCTACCAACAAAAATATCATCTTTGACTGTTTACTGAACGATGAATACTGTAAGGGAACGTCTAGGTGACCGAGAGCAAGTGTTGTTTACTGTGGCGTGGACCATTGAGAATTTCAGTTCGTACGAGGAACGAGTGGGATTGATGTACAGCGATGGAATCACCTTGGCGGAAATGGGCTTTGACGAGAGTTATCAAGGTCGCTGGCGTATGGTGATTAATCCACGTCACAAAATATATGAGTACCAATCTGCCGGTGTCACGCGCGTAGTGACAGGTTGGGCGGTTTTTCTTTGTTTGACCGATCCAGATATATGGTCCCGAAGCTATACTGGCCCGCACGTCTTGGACGCGAATTTCAAGTTAGAGTAAGGATGATAGTATATCAGAGTGAGATGTTCAGAGCAGTACTAAACAGAAAATTCTAGGAATTTTAAGTGACAGAAACAGTGACGCAGTGACCCGTTTCCCGACTGTTACGAGTATCAATGTATCAGCATCGTATCAATGTATCGCATAACCAGCATCTGCTTCTTTAATTAACCTACATGGATAACAGCCACTGCAGACTAAAATTTAGATATACAGTAAATGGTCACAATTACAGCATTTGTATAATATTATAATAGCCGCAACGGTTGTTATGCATTTTGGCAGTACAGTACTGCAAGTGTATGACTCATGACTGTATCCAAAGTTTTGACTTAAGAGTTACGGTATAGCGTTAAGTACTTAGTCATTTGTACGAGTTCTAGCTCGAACGTTTTACCTACAGTGTTAGCGAAGCCCTCCTGCACACAGGGCGAGGCGGCATTTATTATTTTACCGTTCTTTTAAGCTCGTTGTTACACTTTTGCATCTTACGTTTTTGTATTTATTCTCAGAAGCCTTTGTTTTGTTAAGGAAGGCTGAGTTTGATGGCATATCTGCAAACGCAGGCTGTTGAATACTGTGCATGCACATTACCTATATAATTTGGTGAGCATCGAAGTTTGTTTGAGGGTATCGTTAACGCTCGGGCAAAATTTTCAGCCACGGAATATGCAGATTTTTTTTATCAACACATGCCATAATACAGACGTCTTGATTACGCTTGTTGTTTATTCATAAATCAATTGTGTAATAATAACTGGTTTTCATGATTGACCTCGCCACGGTTGCAGGATAACTACTGGAATTTCAAAGCAGACCGTTCTGGATTATTCCCGATACTGGGGAGCTGGATGCACCGATTGCGTCACGTCGGCCACTTGCTCCACTAACAACGACTATAAGTGGATTCTGGCGCTCTCAAACAGCCAAAACGCTTCAGCCAGAAAACTACGACCGGCGTAGACGAATTGAGGACGATTGCGTTACTTTCAGCATTGCAGCAACAATGTACCGCGAACCACGACACGTCCGATTGCTGGAACCAGTTATTCCCAGAATACAAGAAGGGCATCACCCTGCTGCAAAGTTCCTACAGCGCTTGATAGACGGTTACCACTCCCAGCAACATAAGCAAACCGCTGACTTTATCATACGGTCACGGGACGGCACTGAATTTCACGCTCATCGCTATCTGCTGATGGCCCAGTCACCGGTCTTTGCCGCCATGTTGACGCACAATTCTCGGGAGAAGCAGCGGTCCCGCTGTGAGCTGAAGGATGTAGATGGCGAAACTGTGCAGTTGCTGTTGGATTACGTCTACGGTTGCGACACCGGCAAGATCACGAAGAACAACGCTGAGAAGGTGCTGATTATGGCTGATAAGTACGAAATGATGGATCTCCGTGGGCATTGCGAGCAGACGTTGGCTGACGGTATTTCCGTGGAGAAAGCGTTTCCCTATCTGGTTTTGTCGGTGCAGCGCGGACTGGATGTTTTGAAAGCGGCGGCACTGCGGATGATGCCGAAATATCTGGATGCGGTGCTGAAGGGGAAAGGACTAGAAGAGGTCATGCAATCCGATCCCGAACTGATCCAGATCTTCATGGACTACTGCGCGAAAAAGCTTCCTCAAACGTAGTTAGGATTAGACCGTTATGCCCTGCGGTGCCCTTTTATGTCAGTACATTTGATCATTATACACGCCGGAAATATTGTCTTAGTTAACGAAATTCTATTTACGGACGTTGTCATCCTGTTTCCATAACAATCATAATGTTGATTTTCAGTTTCACTTTATTCCGTTGAAGTGTTTCTTAAGTTGATTCCTTTTACCCAAAGGTTTCGTAGCAGAAAATCTGATGGTAAAGAACGCAGCTTCTGCCGTCTGCTGTTTATGGTTGTAAAAATTATTGCTTGTTATAAACCATTGTAAGTACTTGTTCTCTTACTGTAATTCCAGCAATAGGTATGCATTTGTTTTCTTTCCACTCGTAGTTTGTTTGTGGAAACTTTGAGCATTTTCAATTCGATTGTCTGCCTTTGTACGAGGAGGGGATATATACTTTGTATTTGATATATACTCGTATATATACTGCGAGTTATATCAAATAGAGTAGAGTATATATCAAATAGAGTAGAGTAGTATGTAAACAGTTTCAAGCATAAACTGAATATGACAATTATTGACGATAATATGGAAGCCATGGCATACATATACATGTAAGTAATTTTAATCTTTTGATTTATTATTTGAATTATAACCTTGTACGTTTGCAGTATGTACAGTGTATACGGTGCCACGCGTGGATTTAATGTTATTGTCATCGAAATATCTGTGTCAGGCGAGGCAGGAAGTATTCAGCGAGGTGCAGCGTGCATTGCATGCACTGCATTTGGTGACCTTCCGTAGCGATCCCTCTTTTTTGGCCTCTTTACTTTCCACTGTCGACGCTATATAGACACAAAAACTTCTGCAAAAAGTTTATAACTTCCATTTTCACGGTTTTTTGACTTTTCCATCCGTCCAGGTAAATAATCGTAATAAACAATCTTAATCCACTTTAATAGCCGGAACACATCAAGACACTACTACGTACTACGTAGTATAGTAAAACAGCTTTAAAAGTACTATAGTTCTTAAATTTTATACTGTGGATTTTGATTAATTGCAGACTGCAAAAACGTTATGCGTTCGTAGTACAATGGCGCATATTCGTATACTGCTGTTCCATGTGGATTTATAAAGCAATAAGCATGCAGTAATTCGATATGTCTGCTGTACGGTACAAGTCGCATAACTACTGTAATAACAAAGAAGCAGTAAACGACGACTTTAATTAAATCTGGTGCAGTATCGCATATTGAGTTTTCAAGTCACGACTTTAAGAGTGTGTTTTGCTGACTGACTACTGAGAATCGATAAGTGCCTACAAACGTCAAACACGATAAACCTTTAATATCAACTGGTGAAACACAGCTCAACGAAGGTAACACCGTCTCTGATAAGTTGCATGGCAGCGGGCATCAGCAGTCGCTCAACCGTTTCAGTCAATAGCAACAAAGCTAACAATGGGTTTCCATTACTTCTTGAGTACTCACATGAAAATCACTAACATGAAAGTGTTTATTTTATTTCGCATTTCTATCAACTACCAGGTATGTGCAATGAACTGTATTCAGTGTGACAGGTACGTAAATCGAGAGGCATTTCAAAAAAAAAATATAAGTAAAAGCAATATGAGAAAACCTTTCACCAAAATCTGTTCTGGTACAATGCGCTGATAAGACCTTTGTTTACTTATACTACAACTGAGGGAGCTTTTTCGCGCAGTAGTCCATAAAGACCTGCATCAGTTCGGGATCGGATTGCATGACCTCTTCCAGTCCTTTCCCCTTCAGCACCGCGTTCAGATATTTCGGCATCATCCGCAGTGCCGCCGCTTTTAAAACATCCAGTCCGCGCTGCACCGACAAAACCAGATAAGGAAGCGCTTTCTCTACGGAGATACTATCAGCCAGCGTCTGCTCACAAAATCCACGCAGGTCCACCAGTTCGTACTCATCGGCCATAGTTAACACCTTCTCAGCGTTGTCCTTCGTAACCTTGCCTGTGTCGCACCCGTACACGTAATCCAGCAGTATGTCGACACTTTCAGCGTCTTTATCTTTCAGCTCACAGCGAGATTGCTGCTTCTCTTGGGAATCGTGCGTCAGCATGACGGCGAAGAACGGTGACTGGGCCATCAAAACGAAGCGATGCGCAGGAAACTCGATGCCATCTTTGGAACGTACAAAAAAATCTGCAGTTTGTTGGTGATGCTCGGAGCGATACGAGTCGATTTGGCGATTGAGAAACTTGGACAGATTTCGTTCACCGGCAAAGGCTGTGGGAATATTTGGCTCGAGCACTCGGACATGTTTCGCTTCTGGGTACGCCGCCGCATCGATGAGGAAGGTCACGCAATCGTCCTCAATCCGGACGTAACTATATGAGTCACGGTCGTAGCTAAATGCAGCTGCCCATTCAAAATCATTTTTTGACGAAAAGGCCCAGTTTGCGGCCGGAAACGTCCGCAGAATGTTCGTTGTTGTTCCTGTGGCCACTCTACAAACAAATTCCGAAATCGCCATGCGATGTCCGCACTGATTGTCGATACGAAGTGCGAGTCAATAAAAAAAGCAGGCAGGATGGATTTAAATTGACATCGCTGTAAACTAATGTATACAGTATACACACTACTTTACCGTAATGTAAACTTCGCATCCACGCCATGCTGACCAGTGACCCGTATAAGATCGAGAAGCCAAATCGGTATCAGTGATACACAGAAATGCTGCGCAGTGCGCCGTTTCTTTTTTGCCATTATTTCGTGTCCACTCCATTTTCATATAACCAGGATTGACAGCAATGCGCCAGCGACCCTGATATTCATCCCCGAATCCTAGTTCAGCCATGGTGACCCCATCACTGTACATAAGTTCCGCGCGGCCTCTGTAACGACTAAAATTCTCAATGGTCCATTCCACAGTGAACGGCACTTGGTCAGGGTCTGTTAACCGCTCCTTTAAAGAAGTACTCGTACTCATCGTAGATCAGTTGCTGATACCCTTTGTTTACCTATACGGTATAAGAAACAGGCGCCCTATCATTTTGGCCACCATTCATTTTGGCCACCATTCATTTCGGCCACCATTCATTTTGGCCACCATTGATTTTAATTACCGCGTTCGATTTTCAGCTTATACCGGGTACATGCATTCACTACGCTAATGCAAGTTTGCGAGCCTGTGATCCAGCAATGTTTCTTAATTAGTAAAACACACTAAAAATAAACATAATAGAACATAAGAAAAAACAAGTAAATCTAATAACCTAGAACAGTAAACACACCAGAAAACCTAGGGTAAGAAAACCTAAGAAACCTAAGAAAACCTAAGAATAACCTAAGAATAACCTAAGAAAAGTATCACAAAGTAAGTAAATATTAGCTGAAAATCGAACGCGGTAACCAAATCAGTGGTGGCCGAAATGAATGGTGGCCAAAACGAATGGTGGCCAAAATGAATGGTGGCCAAAATGAATGGACACGAAGAAACAAGATTCAAAATTCCAGAACTCTGAATATTCTTCGCCGAAATCTCCGTGGACTGTTGGGACATCGTTGGGAATTTGCTCGATCGGGAAGAAAAGTTTTGTCTGATGGTTCCCCTGCACGAAAATGGAATACGCAGGAAGATATTAATTGGAGAATCCCTAAACGGTATAATATACGAATACCTAAAAGACGAGTCAACTTTGACGGTGTTACATCGACATTCATCAACCTAGTGCTGCTTTGTAAATAGCACAAGATGTCGTAGTGCGACGGCTTCATACGTAACCAAAATGGACGATAGTAAATATTAACAGCAACTGCGAGCGCTAGCGCTCTGCTCGCACTACAGACGACGAAAAACCGTAAGATTACCCGAAATTCACTTTTCGCGATACTCTAGAATTGTTTTTCCCGCTCGCTAGTTCAAAAATTTGAATTTCACCCGATGGCACAGACAAAAGAAAACGGTATTACGGTTACTTATATGCACATAAGAGTCACTTGAAGCCATACCAATTCGGCAATTCCGGCAGTCTGCAGATACCACGGGTCCACGACATGCTATGCCTAATATTGTACAGTTTCTTTCAAGTATTATTTCCAGTGTAATTTCCAGTGTTAAATGTCTAATCAAACCCGCTTCCCTATTCCGAATCGTTGCCGATCAAATGCAAAGGTCCACATGTATTGCTGTAATAGGGTACTTCCGTGCTTGTGGTTCTTGGATGTACAGGAAGTGCAAGAGAACCCGGGTTTCTGTATTAATTTGTTAAACCAGTCCAACATTCAATACGTCTGCGTCGAGCAGCGAGTTATGTGCTACTTACCATCACAGCTTAATCTCGACAAGACATCCTCTTCGATGATAGAATCAACACGTGCTCATCATCGATTATGAACTTGCCGAAGATCGAAGGTAGGGATCCGAATTTGTGAGTCATACGGCTGGTGTAAATGTTGTAAGTTTGCGACATATATATACTCGTGACCTTTGCCGACCAGCGGTTTAACGACCGAATGCTGGATACGAACTACGTAAGACGCGATGAATTCATATTTGCAAGTACAGAATCTTGTGAATATGAGGTAGGTAGTAGGACCTACTTGAGTAGGTAGTACTTCAGCTAGTTAAAGTGGATCAGAATTCAGAAGTTATATTTAGACCGGGAGAAAATTCACCGCAGACTGGCCACACAAACAGCGATACCGATCATCAAGGATATTAACATCAATTTAACGCTAGCAGACTGCATGCACTTTACTAGGTTTTACCACATTCCCCTTAAAGTGCTCGTATTTTCTTTCCACATTTACAGCTCTGCAGTGTCTGCAGTGTTTCTTGCTCTACAGTGTTTTTGTTTTGGTTTCTGTACTGAGAAATTTTTTCATCATCTTTTTCATTCTGGCATCAGGAGACCCTGATTACATTGCCCGGGCGAAGTTATTAAAATGGGACTTTTCGTTTAAGGTACTCGTACAAGGAAAATTGGCTATCCACAGGTTTATAATTAATGTTGGCACTTGGCACAACGACAATTCGGTCATACCGCGAACCAGTTACAGGCACACAAGTTGACATTTGACCTTTGCTATCTATTGAAGTAATGGATCGAGCTCGGTCTTAAATTTTCGTAATGGGGTGAGAACAATCGTGTTTGTAGAGCGCTTTGGTCGTTTTAATACTCCCAGTTGGTAAGCATTAATTATAAAGTATTTAATTAAATTTTAAACGTCCGCAATCAAATTTAGCATTATACATGTTAAGATCGTCTTAGTGAAGTTAGCTTCTTATGTTTGGGACAATGCATTCGCAACATGTGTGCACAGTGCACACGGTGGCATTGGGTGTTATTCAAAAGGTCATTCCCCGTCACGGGAATCACCACTGCATCCATTCGCAATTGCAAGCCCATAAAACTGTAATACAATTTTCTGTACACACTATAATCACGCGCAACACGAGGGCGTAAACTGGGAATTATCCTGATGAACTATTCCCGTGTCAGCCGTGTTGTCATTTCTGGAATTTCAGACTTTAATACGGAGAAATACGCGCTGATTTAACGCATCAAAGATCCCTATGGTTGTTTAATTAGAAAACCATGTCGCGTAGTGTTTTTTGGAGGGGATGCCGGAAACCCACTTTGAGCTCTCGCTGTGTATCTGTATTACTAGTCGATGTACATAAAAAATGAGTCTTTTTCCTTTTGTGCCAGCTGCTGACCGTACACCGGTAGTGTGCACTACGTAATCCTTTACAATATTGTGATAAGTGAAAAAGCTCTTCCCAAAATAACAGGCAATGAAGACCGCAGTATTATTTTGCAGATATTAGGCACTGATACAAATACTACATAAAATTAGAAATATTGTTCTAATTCATCAAATAAATCATTAGTAAAATCAAAGTGAAAACAAGACATTCATGCACTGCTGCGCATCTAGTATACGTCTTTGGAAAATAAATTATCCATGACATGTTTGTCCAGCTGACGGATCATAGCAGGTGTTCCCGTACAAACTGTATCCAAAACTGCATAAGATGCCGTTCGTGCAGGTTTCGCCATTTGATGGTCGATAGCATCTCGTTCCACACCGCTCATATCCAAACCGGCCGCAAATGACACCGTTGGAACAGGTCTGCCCGGCGGACGGGCTGTAGCACCTCGATCCACAAAGCTCGTATTTAAAGCTGCATACCACCCCGTCAGTACAAGTCTCTCCGTTGGATGGCCGGTAACACCTGCGCCCGCGCACGCTGGCACCGAATCCACAAATCAAGCCGTCTGGAAAACACTGTTCCCCGGCGGAAGGTCGGTAGCAGGCGACATCGTAGCAGCTCGAGTAGCAAGATCCGCAAACTTAACTAATGCTTGGGCTATTTAAGGTCATCCCGTACATAAAATATATACATCCAGAAATTGTATATAAAATTTTGTATACAAAAATTGTATATAAAAACATTTATATAAAACTGGTATAATTATTATAAAAATGTACTGTAAATATCTATAAAATTTTAATCAGTTTCTTTACAAATTTCCTGTCGTAATTTATTTTATACTTATTTACACACTGGTTAGTGATTACTGCTATAATTAAATGCCAGTGACCTTCACCTTGCGAAACGAAAGCGGCACTGTTGCGAAATACTTGTCAAATGAAGTGGCATTGTTACTCTATAAAGATATAGCCTAAACAACAAAACAAGAAAATAACTGATAAATCTTCCGTTCTTTAATTGATTAATTTACGTAATGTACATGCGCACTGCGCTGTCTTATGCAGCACGCCGGCGTTAAAAGACGTCATTTAACAGACAGGTGTGAGAATCAACAAAATGCAGTTACGAATTATCGATGTTTACATCGTTTGATTAATGCGTCCATGCGCGGGAAGATTATCATAGTTCACAATAAGCTACTACGAATACTGCCGGAAGTAGGTGCCTTGTTTTCTTGCTGCTGTTCTTCACCAGCCATTGTCGCCGACTCGCCTGTCGTAGGTGCCGCGAAACGCTGATAAAGCAGAACAGGAACCAAATCATGAACCGGTAAGTAAAGCAGACATTTCCGGAAGATTACCGACAGGTTCATCGCGCTTAAATAAATTTACTGACAACCATGTAAATATCGTTTGCTATTTTGATACATTTCCATGTCATGAATTTGTACCCATCGCAAAATGAATACAATTTTATGCGCGTTTAAACAGCAAAATCAATATAATGATAATTTCGTGATTGTTTGTACCCTTCTCAACGAATGCATTCGTAAATTTTCCTCATAATATTATATGACTGAAGATCCAGAAAACAAAAATAGCCGAAAGTTCCAAGTATAAATAATATTTATCATTGTATGTTAATCGTTAGCAGTAAAAATACTATTGTAAAATATATATATATATGCTCTCGAAGCAAATTGCGCTGTTCCACTTTTATTTATTGCAAAGCCAAGCGTGTATAAAAATACAATAGAAAAACGCACGCAAATTTGGTTTGTGATTCAAACACTGTGGAAAGCCAGTGCCAACAGGATCACGGCAGGCAAGTATGATGGAAAAATCCACCCAAAATGGCCAAATCAGAAAAGACAACTATAAAACTATCAAAATAAGGCAGTAAACTAGAGGCATCAAACACGCGGGATGCATTCCACAGTCACAGAAAAAACATCATAGACAAAAGGAGAGAAAAATTTATGAGTACAACGGGCAAGGATTAACCACATAATCATCAGCTGCAAAGCAATCCAGAGCGAATAATCATTAAACACCATGGGGCATCCTAGTGAACGTCCAAATCTTCCAAGCTTCGTCCGAAATGTTTCGCCACTTCATCCAGCTCCAGGTCGGTTATCTTGGATGCTCCAAAATTCTTCGGTGTGTCGTACTTCTTAATGATACACTACAACAAGCGTTTTTATTAGTACAATTATTTTTAATTCTGTTGTGGTCAACACTACTGAACGGAAAAATGCGGAATCCCAATAAACGCCACCGCCAATATCTACTACTAATTACTTATATTTAAATTATTTATTTATTTTTATTTTCAAGAATAAACCGCCAACACCTGTTACTATTTACTTATATTTCTTTTAAATATTTCTTTATTTTTATTTCAAAATAAACAGAACATTCGCTGTATACCTGCCACTTGGCTGTTCGGGCTTGTTTCAGAACGTCCACCATCTTGAAAGCCATCTGTTTCACCTCGCCTTCTTCGTAATTGCTGTAATAAGCCAATTTCGAATCCTGAAATAATTCAACAAATTGACCACATCAAGTAGTAGAATATTTTGGAAATAATGCTTGCAAGTTATAACGCAATCTGAAGCAAAACTTTACCCAGAAATCATGGGACCGACGACGGAACAGGACAGCCAAATACACCGCTGCAGCTGCTACCAGTGACGGCTTCACCTCCACAAACTCAATATGCATCAGCGCCAGTTCCATGAAGAATTTAGCCAAGCAATACTCGTCCGGTTTGGCCTAAAAAGCATTCGGATAATACAAAAATGAAAAAAAACCATCGATAAAACAAGCCAAGTGTAGGCAATCAATCCGTACATGTGCAGCTTTACAGACGCGGTGAAGAAAATGCACGGGTAAGGGGCGAGTGAAATCGAAGTTCAACGCGTTGACCATCATCATCTCACAGTCCAGAATCTGCTTGCGCGAGCACGCCTCATCCGAGATGTACACATAATCCCCCACTTCCGGCGGATAAACTTCCTCGAACTTCCCGGCGATGAACATGGCGGTCACTCCGATCAGCTGCAGTTCATCCTTCGTTACATCGATTTCCGGGATCTGCAACACACACAAAATCCAGTAAAATACTGCATTAAAACACATAAAATCGAGTAGAATACTGCAAGCAATGCGTTAAAACAGCAGTAGTTCAGTAATGACGAAAAACGCATAAGGATGCATACAGAAAGGAAGCGATCGACGATGTTCAGCGTTAAGAAAAGCGTATCCTGGCCCTGCTTGAATTTGTGCATCACGCTGACAATCCAGTCCACAAGGATGGTGCGCATCCGCGGATTAACCGACATCCCATCCATGAAGTCTTTCGCCAACAGTGAATATCGCTACAAAAATAATTGGCAGGATATGTAGATAGCATAACCCACTCATCGATGGTTAGAAGTCGCAGCAAAGATAATTTACAAAAGTGGAATTTCTAACTCGATGTACTGTCGCACGATGACGTACCTGGCATTTCCATCCAACAAGTTATAAACAAGAAAATAATCCCTACTTTTAAATGAACCCGTGTTTAATAAATGTGTATTTAATCAATATCTTTTTCAAATTATTTTACTTATTACTTATATTAATAACTGACTCGCGAGCGATAAATAACCAAAATCTAGAACAAGTAAAAGTCTCTACTGGTTCTCTACAGTTCTCGAGATTAATACGATTCTCGTATTAATACGATATATACGATTACTACGATAAGAACATTATTTAATATTAAATTCTATTGGTAAATCAGGCATAATCACTAATAAACTGTTATATTCCGGGTGATTATTGATTTGAATTCATTTTAATGTTTAACCGATTCATTATTGATTTTAACGATAACTTCAAAAACAGAAAATATCAAAAATAACAAGTAAAACCGCTGAATTTCAGTCAAAAATCCGCTGGTACCGGTTAGAATTACTTGTACACCTACTCGTAGCCGTTGCCGGACATCATACATTATAAATTCGTGCAAATACAGAAGAATAATGGTTCTTAAGCGTAAGCGTACCTCACGGTGGTACAGGTAAGTGTAGATATGCTCCACGTAGGCCACCACCAGCGCTTCGTTTCCCACATGTTCCGCATAGATGTCCGGGACGTCCTCCGGTCGCTCTTTGTACGTCATGAACCCTGCAATACATGGATCAATGAACAGAAATGCAAGTGGATGCAAACCGCGAAATCCCAAACCTACCATGCTCTTTTCCGCCAGTCCGCACAACATCCTGCAGCATCTTCTGTCGTTTCTCCAGCGTGATGTTCTGGCGCAGCGAGGACAACGTGGGCAGTCGGGATTGCGCTGGCTGCTTGGATTTGGCCTCATTCTCATTCTGCAACTTCGGCTGCAAAAGAAAGATGCGATTCAACGAAGTTTTATTGCTAGCTGCCCCACTGCAAGCAAGCAGAGAGGAAAACCAGGCAGCCTTACACCCAATACGGTTTGTCAGAGTAACAGGTTGTCTTTGCATGAAAAGCGATGACATCACGATGATCAGTGTGCTGATATGATAAACTGTTTTTAAAAATACTGGCCAGGTATTCACAAGTTCTATTAGCAATGAAAAATTATTTTATTTTAACCTAATTCAGAAGATACTAGTGGAAAAAACCAGAGCGGGAACAAGTAACAACAACAACGAACCAAGCAAGTTCAGTCAGCGATAAGAACAAACACTACGAACGTCGCTTATGACTCAACGTTACACTTACGACACATGTAGCAGTTTACTCGCTCATCTGCCACCAGCCTCAATGAAAATCACAAGGAACAAAAACTAGTTGTAGACAATTACCTTCTTCTGCAGGTTCGTAGCAATCTTTTTCTCGGGACCAGCTAGGAGAATTTTGTTGGTAGCATTCTGAAGACCAGGACGAATGGCAGGCTTCGCGTTACCGAGTGCTCGATGCTGCTTATGATTCCCGCGGTTCTGCAGTGACGCCATTCTCCTTGAATTTTAGTAGAACTCTACAAAGATGGCTAATAAATTAGTGATCGTTAAATATTAAAATAAAGCTGTGAAAGCTGAAGTAGAAGCGTCGAGCAGCAGTACAGATGCAAATCTTACAACTGCTGTAAGGAGCGCTCTATAAGTAAAACTAGAAAGCGGAAAGGCAGAAGGCGATCGCGCTGTTAAACAACGCGCCAAAGGCCCAAAATCCTGACGGACATCGTGATTGGTTGGCTAGCTGGGCGTGTACTACGTTTTACTAATTGCGATTTTTTGATTCGTCCATTGAGATCATTTACGCCACTAGCAGCTCGTCAAGGGTGGGCCCGACTCTTACCGTTTTTAGTTTTTCGAAGATTTGTTACAAATTAATCATTTGTACATACAAATGTTTGTACGTATACCGGTATATTAAAGTACAGTACGTGAAATCAGAATATTGTAATACGGTAAATCGAAAATTTTCAACTGTTTATTACATTTATTTTATCCTCTAACAGTCACAACTCGAAGGGAACTTCAACATAGAATATTTCAGAATTTGATTTATAAGTGTTGCAACTGTGCTAGTAACTTCTTATTGTTTAAAGTTTAAACGAGCGGTGTAGGACTGTAGGTAGATGTTTGTTTTGCTATACAAGGCCTTACCATTTAATAGATTAATAGATGCGTTTTTCCTTACCAAAGATTGACAAATGACAACCTATACCGCATTGTGCGAACTTGTCAGCCACCATGGGCTGGCAGCGTGTAATACAAACGGTGACTGCATTGCTCCCATTGACTTCGACGTTAAACCGAACCGGGCATTCACTAATCTAAACTTCAATCAAATCTACAAAATAACATTCCAAATGATGGTAAAAAAATCTGGAAAAAAAATTAAGAATGAGCGCGTTCCGATACCAGCACCAGAAAAACACTGCGGATTTTGCTGTACGTTCGAAAGATGACACCGAGTTTCCTGCGCGTCGCTTTGTTCTGATGGTTCAGGCTCCGGTATTCGCCGCCATGCTGACGCAAAATTCCCTCGGAAACATGTATAGCAATCCCGCTGCGAGATGCAAGACATAGATGTTCAAAGTTTCGACATACTGCTGGATTATGTGTGACGGTGGCGAGCTGCGACCCCGGCAAGATCACGAAGGAGAATGCCGAGGAGTCGAGAAGATGTTGATTATGGCAGATAAGTGCAAAACTGAGGATCTGCGTGGGTTTTGCGAACAAACGTTGGTTGACACTATATCCGTGGAGAAAACGTTCCCATATCTGGTGTTCTCGGTCCAGCGCGGGCTGGATGTGTTGAAAGCGGCGGCACCACGGATGATGCCGAAATATCGGGATGCGGTGCTGAAGGGGAAAAGACTGGAAGAGTCATGCAAGCCCGATCCCGAACTGATCCAAATTATCATAGAGTATTGCGGGAAGAAGCTACCTCCAGGCGTATCTGTAACCATAACTTACGTTTTTCCCAGTAATTTTGATTAATATGATGCAACTGATGCAATTAGCAATATTGTGGTTAGCTGTTTTGACTTCTGAGCACATAGATTTCCACTTTTGTTTCCCAACTATGTAGTTGAAACTGATGGTCGGTTTCGCCGTATCATGCTAGACAAATAAGCTTATGTTCTTTGTCGCAAGATGTCTCGGCAAACAAGTTCGAGGAGACCATTTTTATCATTGTAATATCATTAATGACGTCGACGCATCTTCGATTTTCAACTGAAATACTAGACTATTTGCGTTGTCACTTGTACTGTATGTGTACAAATTACGCATACATCTGTACTTAGAAGTATATAGATAGATGTATTTGTATGCACTTTACAAATAAGTCGCTTTCGCCATTGTCACAGCCTGGCCAGAGCTACTTGTGTTATTCGTAAGTATACATAGATGAATGCGTGACCTATATGTAGCATACAAAATAAAATCGCACATCCCGGAATATGCAGTACTTATCAGTTATCAGAATTTATCTGGAGACATGGAATAGACTCGATATGATAGACATGGGTGCGGCTTTCATGGAGAGAAAGTTAAACGGAAATAACTAACTAGCTATTTAATAATTAATGCCTAGCAAACTAACTAATAACTAACCAAATTTCTAACTGTGCACCCTTATTTCGAAGTCAAGGGGTGCAAGTAGACTAGGTATTTACTAATTACTACTGCAGTCTGCAGCAGTCGGTGCGCTTGATGACGCCATAGTCGGTGTGTTTGATGCTAGATGACACTGGCGTCACCTGTCAAGCGCACCGATTGCTTACGCGCAGTTACACTTTTGTAACGGGGTCATACGCTCGTATTTTGGGAGTGCTGTAGAGTTTTTGAACTGTCACTCTTACAATCCAACAATCAAAGGAGATTTCAGCAAAAAATATTTTGATTATGACCTTTTTTTCTTACGTGAAATAAACGGTATCAGCAATTGACTTATGATGGATGCTGTTGTAAAAGAATGCTTAACGGACCTTGATCAAGTGTCGTTCACTATGGAATGGACCATTGAGAATTTCAGTCGATACCAAGGCCGAGCCGGACTTTTATACAACGAAGGGATTACCATGACTGAACTGGGATTTGGGGACGAATATCAGGGTCGCTGGCGCATTGTTGTCAATCCATGCTTTAAGAAAAAGGAGTACCTGTGGAGGGAGAACGCCGAACGGGAACTGGGGTACTGCGAAGCATCTCTGTGCATTACGGATATCGATTCTGCGTCCCAATCCTACACGGGTCTCCATGTCATTGATGGGAAGTTTACATTATGGTATGCTCAACTCAAGTGAAGTGCTCGAAGCCGGCACAACCTTTTTACAATTTTTGCGGCTTCGAACGGATCTGATTGATGATAGTGCGTGCATTTGAGGTCGGTTTCCCATAAAGTTTTGATTTTGTTTATATAGGGTGGCATCCGGGAAGGCAGTGAAAGTTGTAAGGGAGCATCAGGCAGCAGTATGGGTTTATTCAACTAACAATGAACATAAATGGATAACTGCATTTTGTTACGATTCACGATCCGTAAATTATAGAGAAATTCAGGACAATTGTGTCACCTTTCGCGTCAACGTGGTGGTGTACACAGCAGCGAAACACGTTCGAGTGCTGGATCCAATTATCCCTACAGCGATTGATATTAATCGAAATTTGTCAAAGTTTGTTAAGCGGCAGATGGAGGCGTTTCGCTCCGATCAGCAACCAAAAACTTCCGACTTCGTTATACGTTCTAAAGATGGAATTGAGTTTCATGCGCATCGCTTTGTTTTGATGGCTCAGTCGCCAGTCTTCGCCGCCATGTTGACGCACGAATCCCGCGAGAAACAGCTATCCCGTTGCGAGCTTCAAGATGTTGATGCTGAAAGTATCGGCGTACTGCTAGATTACGTCTACGGTTCCGACACCAGCAAGGTCACAAAGGATAACACAGAGAAGGTGCTGATCATGGCCGATAAGTACGAAATGATGGATCTGCGTGGGTTTTGCGAGCAGACGTTGGCGGACAGCATTTCCATGGAGAAAGCGCTTCCCTATCTGGTTCTGTCGGTCCAGCGCGGACTGGATGTTTTGAAAGCGGCGGCACTGCGGATGATGCCGAAATATCTGGATGCGGTGCTGAAGGGGAAAGGGCTGGAAGAGGTCATGCAGTCCGATCCCGAGCTGATCCAGATCATTATGGAGTACTGCGGGAAAAAGCTTCCTCATCTGTAATTATAATATCTAGCCGATAGTTCTAGTGACATGTTAGTTTATTTTTTTTTCAGCAGTGGGCATAATAAAAATGGTATAAATAGACAATTTTGTTGCATACTTTTTCCTCCTTTTTTCCAAAATGACTGGTACTGATTGTTAGATTCGTTCTGCTGTGCTGTTCTTCTGTTCATTGCTAGCAAGTTTTCATAACAACCATGTCAGGAAATCAATTACGGTTCTCGTTACTTGTACTCGTACGAACGCATCGTCCATTTTACAGTTGCTAACAGACCGCTGTGTTTCGCTCTGATTACGAAATTCATACTGGGTTATGATTCGTGGTCCATTGTAAAACTTGACTGGTTGAACAGAACAGTTAATAGTTCATACGTAAACACCCGCTCTGGACCACTTAAATGTTGCTCTGTCGAGAAAGCGAGAATCAATTTAATTAGCTTGTTTATTTTAACTATCATTTTGCATAATTTGATTTAGTGTTTTATATAATTTAATTAGTGTCCATTAGCGCAAGTATTTACGTATTTGTACTGTCAGTTGCAGAGTAAATTTAAAAACATTACTTTGTCACTTCGTAACAAAGACAGAAGGACGCAGTGGCTGGCTGTAAAAGTCTAATGTGTCCTATTCGGTACTCGATAGTGAATTTGCCAAAGTGAAAACGTAAAAAAGTGTTAAACAGAATCTCCAGTCACGCCCAGTGGAGTAATTTTTAAAGAACCGCATGTAAACTCGACATTTCCACGATTAACCGGGATTCCAGGGGTTAGGATGCCAATCTCTCCCAGAAACTCTGCCTGGCGGTTCTGAATCGTTTGCCGATGAAATACAAAGTACAAGATTCCTAGCTGCATTGTTAGCGGACAAATTACTCCCGCACAGGGAGAGACGCAAGAAAGTTTCCAGTATTTGCTGAATTAATTCAGTATTCCGAACATCTACGCCGGGCTCCATCTTGATCTTAACCCCGAAACCATCAGTTTGGTGACTAAATGGACACAGTACACACCATTGGCTGTGGATTCGACACGTCGGGATGCTAACTGAAATTCTGGCACAGGCTTTGCTCCAATTCTTGAATCGGTTGACCGATTCACTCTGGAATGAACCATTAATGAAAACTTCAGTTCGTACAGCGGACGAGTGGGACTCATGTACAACGATGGGATTACCATGACTGAACTAGGGTTTAGGGACGAACATCAGGGTCGCTGGCGCATCGTTGTCAATCCTTGCTACAAGCAAATGGAATCAACCAGAACGGAAAAATGCAGTACTGGGCGGTTTTTCTTTGCATGAATGATTCCGGTTGGATTTCCAGATCGTACACCGGCCGGCATGTCGTGCAAGTTTTAAGCTATGGTAAAGTTTTAATGCACAATTTACCTTTATTCGGCCATCGCTTAGTCCTTACGTGTGGCGTGCCTTGTGGCGTTCACAAACAAAATCACTGTGGAGCCGTGGACTAGATTGTCTGATGGCAATGCATTTTTTCGTGTAGGCTAGCCATGACAAGACCATGGAATCATTTTTCGTGTCAGGAAACATGGGCCTTTTCCTCCAGCAAGGACTATAAATGGTTGATTGTATTCTCCTACGACCGCCGCTCCAAGTATTGCCGACAAATTGACCATGGCCGCGTGACCTTTGCAATCGATGCGGTGTTGTACACCAATCCAAACGCGTCCGAGAACTGGAACCGGCTACCCCAGTAGCCTTAGACGATAGTCGACAAATGTACAAGTTTGTTAATCGCCAAACGGAAATATTCCGCTCCCAACAGCACCAACAATCTGCAGATTTCGTGGTACGCTCCAACGATAGCACAGATTTTCCCGTGAATCGTTTCGTCGTGATGGCTCAGTCACCGTTTTTCGCTGCTATGCTGACACACGATTCCCTTGAGAAGCAGCAATCTCGTTGTGAGCTGAAGGATAAAGACACTGGAAGCGTCGAAATACTGTTGGATTATGCGTACGGTTGCGACACCAGCAGGATCACGAAAGACAACGCGGAGAATGCGTTACCCCGTTAACTATGGGCCTATGGTCGATGAATATGAAATGTTGGATCTGCGTGGGTTTTGCGAGTAGACATTGGCTGACAGCATTTCCGTAGAGAAAGCGCTTCCCTGCCTGGTTTTATCGGTCCAGCGCGGACTGGACGTGTTGAAAGCAGCCGCACTGCGCATGATGCCGAAATATCTGGATGCGGTGTTGAAGGGGAAAGGACTGGAAGAGGTCACGCAGTCCGATCCCGAACTGATCCAAGTCTTCATGGACTACTGCGCGAAAAAGCTCCCCAAGGTGTAGCATAAGAGCATTAGAAACAGGTTTGGGGTATTTGTGCAATTTTCGTTCGGTTGAACGATCACTACGTTTCAAAAATGTCGTCACCTTCGTTTAGTTGGCGTATTGCAAAGGGTTAATAAATGTTTCTCTTGTTTCACGCTTGTGAGCTGTTGTCGATTTCAGCCAACAAGCTAACTACTGTAGCCCTGCCTCACATTATTGTCCAAAATTTAATTATGGAAGTTTTTACTGCTTCTGTGTTTTTCGACAGAACTATATTAGAACATCAGTGTGTATTACTGCAATTTTTTCGGTGTAGCAACTGCATTTCTGGATGCTAACATAAGTAACATTTGACGTACAGATACTGCAGCGTAATCCTGTTGTTGCGCTTGCAGCAGATGTATACTAATATGTTTTTTTGTGTAACTTCTTAAATTTTGTGTCTTTGACAGTACATAAATTTAATAAAATATAGCATCTACTTATAGTGTATGTATTTGCTAAACCTGGTGATCAAATTATTGGCATTTCATTGCGATGCAGAGGCGTCGCCCCCACTCGGTCTCCGTAAAAACGGGCATTTGGTCAGAAAAGAAAGAGACCTTAAACAGATTCGATATCTGTTAATATAAAAAAGATTATAAAGTTCTGGCTGCGCACGTCCGAAGGACGTGCGCAGCCAGATAACTACAACGGTGTCCGCATCCTGTCCCGGCAAGCAGCTGTCTATGACCTCTGACGACCTAATACAATAGTGTTTTTTGGATTCTTCTCCCGTTACACATTGCACATTTGTATATTTGATCTTTTAGGACTTTATTTATTCTTGCAGTATAACGGTAACAAGATTTATCTATTGCGTTACTTTCTATTTGCTCTAAATTTAATAGTCTCATGTCCTGACAAGTGACAGTTTTAGCTACATATTAAAGGTTTCACGGTGAACAAGTCCGGGGAGCAGTTTTCATGACTACAGGATTTACTTCAATTTGTTTCATTACTTTTTCTCTTGTTAGCTAATAGAGCACTAATACATACCACACAGCTGCCATTCGTACCGTCCTTGTTGGGGAACTGACACCCACAGAGGCCGAGTCACAGAGCGCCAGGAAAGTTGCAATTTTTTGAGTTTTTTTGCAAAATTTCTTAAAATAGAAGTATAGTTTCTTCAGCTCTTCGGTTGTCCAGGTAATAAGATTATTATTGAATACTTCACCGATTGAATTGTACAGAACGTATACAAGTAGAAGCATGCATAATAAGCAACAGGTGTAAGCGTTTGTATGTATCTGTACAATGCACATTGTAAACTTGCAGCAAACAGCAGATGCTTTCCACGGCTTTAGTTAATTATTTGAGTCTCTAGAGGTATGTTGTATCTGTAATCGTAAATACGTATCTGGATTAAGTTATATTAAGTCAGAAGGAATTGCGTTGATTGTGCTCTTTATAGCAACGCTTTTAAATCTTTCGTCGTGAACAGGAAGTAAACGGCAGCACACGGAAGATCGTTGACACCGGAAGATGTGTGTTAGCCGAGACAGAAAACGAGAGAACTGGATTGATATACGCCGCGCATACTGGTGACCTTTCGTGCTGATTCCGCTTCCGTTGGTTTCTACACTTTCCACTGTAGACATTGCGCCAGAGCAATCAGTTCCTGCAAAAAGTTAAATTCCTTTGTTTGAAATGCGTTTATCCAATATTTGGACAGCAAAGTACAGTAGAATAATACCATAAAATATAAACGATTCAAAACCGGCATTACATTAGCTGTTAAATTTACGGTTCAATAATATTATCTAGAAAAATTACGTGGTTCCACGATTCAAAATGCAGTCTATTTTTATTTACAGCCAGTAATTTTAACAACATTAAGAAAAGGGATTACCAGATCGACTGTGCCATTGCACTACGAATGCACAGCAACAATTAACAAATGCAATTGCGGCCGATTTAGGTACGAACGAAGTATTTGGCGGTTTACTACGCTAACGGTACATATGCTACATATTTAAATCCTCCAAGTAAACTGTACTGTATATTGGCAACTGGAGTCTTTTTCCTCATGAATATGAAAGAAATGCATTTTAAGTATAATCGTACCATAGTGCGCCAATTATTTTTTATCTTACCGTTCGCCTGACAAACGCATCGGGATTCAGCGCTAGATACTTCCAGGCCGTGCAGGGATCCGTGGCCGCCAGATTATTCAACTGCAGGCCGCTGGTGGGATATCTCCGAATCGGACCCGACCGTTTCCCGGCCGCTCCCGGTCCCCATCCCCAGGAATTCCAGCCTCCGCGTTTGGCCTGCACACTGACATTCAAATCCTCTTCTCCATCATCCAGATATTCCTCCGATCCGTACAAACCATTGGGCCGGGCACTGACCGCTACGAGGCACGAAAAACAGATCACCGTCAACACCGTAAACCAATGCATGATTACAAACGGTACCGGTAAAGCGCTTCGATTAAAAATAAATAACTATTCCCGGGTGGAATGTAAACTGTGAATAGGTCAAATGAAATCACCTGCCTTTCCGTTTATATACCGGTGGTGCGTGTGATGGGTATTGGAGGTGCGGTGGTTATCGCGGTCGCCATAACCAAGCACTTAATCGGTGCGTTGTGCGTGTTTGACCTCGACCGGCTTCAGCGCGTCCACGTCACCGTGGATCTGGTGCACTTTACAGGTGTTTGTGGGGTTGTAGTGTGGAGTGGCATTATGCTATGTGCGCCAGAAAACGGATGTGTTCTTGTAATTCGGCTGGGTGATCTCCCTGGTACCCTCTCTTCAGTGTGATTCGGTTGTAAGCGGGTCGTTTCGTGATGTTTGAGAAGGGATTTGGGGATGGGATATATTTTTATCTAGACGTCGCAGCTGGGCTATCTATTGCTACCCTTTCGCCGATGTGCGTCGTTCCCGATAGGTGCGGTGTGGGTTTGCTTACATAACATTGAGGTATAGCACGCACTTGAAGTAAATTGTGTATTATCTAGTACCTGCAAACAGATTATAGTAATGTCGTGCATAGAATCTGCAAAGTGCCGGTATTTGTATGTTTTCCAGTGGCTTTTTCTTCTTATGTTATCTTATTATTAATTTTATACAGGTTTCAGTACTTCGAAGTATCCGAAGTCTGTGCCGGAATTGTGAACCGACTGTCTGTTATGTCCCAGCTACGCAGATACGTCGAGGTTGCCGCGATTTTCTATCGGCACTGCGAAAGCAATGTAGATTAATGGCTGTTTATTGTCTTCATAACCACAACTGGGATGTAATTGTTGAAAGAGATAAACACATAGTGCTATAAAGCATACATGTTGTTTTTATTAATCAGCGAATAGGTACAATTTTTGCAAATGCTTGAGAAGGAATTTTAGAAGGATGCATATGTGTATATTATGAGGTGGCAACTGGCAATCATCAATGTACAATTCACATACGTTCACTTAATTACTGTATGTACTATCGGCTCGTTTCAGCAGTATCGTATGTTTACCGATTTACAGTACAGCAAATATATTTTCTATGTATGCATACATGTGCATAATTATACTTACCACAGCGCAAGCGTAGGAAATGCGGGTTCCGGCGATCAGTTCTTCCATTCCGTTCCGTTCTTATAGATAACGTAGAAAGTTTTGCATGTACTCTGTACATGCAGTGCACGACTTATTGGGTTAAATAATATTAATATTCAGCATAATATGCAGTGTATAGATATAACGTACGGTCGCGTACGTACGTACGCGACCGTAACTGGAAGAACGGAAGCTAGCTACCGTACGTACGGTAGCTAGCTTCCGTTCTTCCAGTCAGCTTCCAGCCAGAAAAAGAATTCATATTTATAATATATTATTATCGTTCGTCAATTAATTCATGCAGTCGTGTTGCCATCTCACTTGTTATCCTAATGTTACCCATGCTGCGATATGTACGAGACACTATAATTTCTTCGAGTAGACGACCCTTTGAGGTAGCTGCATAAAGGCTGCACTGTGTACAGTAGTTCAATTAAAAATGATCAAGTTAAATAGTTGCATAACATCCTACGTACAAGTACTTCCGATATAATAAGCATTGTCGATTTCTCGGAATATTATAAATAAACGTCAGGAAATAACTAAATGTCCGTTATACTGCAGCGAACTGTCCATTAAATTTTAGTGAAACGACTTCATTAATATGTCTACTGAGCTTTCATCCACCAAATGCCGTTCGCTATTCTCCGATTGATCAAGTAAATACCGTACCTAAGAACAAACTGCGGCATGTCCGAAATCTTCCCTTTTTGCGCAAAGGCAGAACGTGCAACTAGCATTTATTGTCAAAGTAGCATTAATTTAAATATGAAGCCTAATTATTGTAGTACGTCAAAAAGTGCGAAATAAAGAAAAATTGTGTAGGATCAACATCATAATTCTTATACAGAAGGCCAAGCAAGGTGTGTCCAAAAGCACAAATGTTTAGAGTTTACTGATGAGAACAACATGTAACATTGATATACTAATTATAAATCAGTATACGAGCCCAAAAATTAATCGTTCTTTTGAAACAATCGTATCTGTACGAGGGATGGTGCGATCTCTTCGATCTAGGAAATTATAACATGGAAGAAGAATGGCACATGTAAAAATTAAAAAAGAGCGTTCGCAAAATATTCAGATCGCTCGGTCCAATATAAATGTTACTAAGTAGATATTCTCAATAATTTTTGCATGTCGCACGCTTATTATTAACTGAGCCATTTCACTGCGATTTAATCCACCTTTGCAATCGGTCAATCGCTTTAATCCACCTTTGCAATCCACCTTTGCAATCGATTTAATCCACCTTTTGCATCTATACCCATAACCCATATACTGTAAATTCTTCGTACTTGTTGCGCTACGAATTTTAAATTTTACTACACTTTTTAATTTTGGCACTTCTGCATACTTTCAGAAATTTAATAGCCAGGTTTCATGCACACCACCATACTGGGTTGTGATACCAACTCAAAACCAAAAAGCCAAAAACCAAAAACCTCTTAAAGTCAAAAACCATGCATGGTTATAACCTCCTGAGAATACCGCGTGCTCTTTAAGCATCTGTTAACTGAATGGCATTCGGTTCTTTTTTAATTTTTTTTAAATACATTCCCTTTCACCAAAATTAATAGAAGAGGCAAGCAGTAAAAATAATAAGTTGAAGTTTTACACCTTCTTCTGAAAATCATGCTTCCTTGTGTTGGTAGCACACCTTATGATTTATAAAATCACCAGATCTCAGAAAGCTGCCCATTGAACAGTAACACCATTCAGTGAGAGATGGAAAATGGATTTTAATAGACCGCCATATATTGCGGAAGAGATTGTCGATCATCAGCACATCGTACATCATGGTAAAATAAACAAATGCGTGCGCTTTCCCTCTCCAGCAGGCCGGTCAAGCACCGTGTCCCTGCAGGAAGAGAGTTCACTGTACGCTGTGGTCGGACCAATGGGAAATGGGTTGGTGCACCAAAGTGTAAAAATTCGATCCAGATTTACCATCAGAGATGGTTATTCCGCGACCGCGCTGATCAGGTTTTGTGATGCGCGCGTGATCAAACTAGTCAGCAAATCCGGCCCTCACAGCAACTGGCATATCCGGCCTTCAATAGATCAAAGGAACACTCTGTATGTGGCAGCACATTGTACATCTATCCACCGGGAGCGATCAGCCGGGTGAGTCGATGGATGTATATACAGGGTCCAGCTGTAATTAACTTCCGCTACTATCCAAATAAACGGCTAATCTCTGCCAAATATGTCGCAGGGCGATCCGATCGAAATCTGTCTGGTACATTGCGGCGATTTGATTGTGGACGGAGCTCTGCGAATCGGAAATCCATAATTACTTTAAATTCTGAAATTTACACAACAAAAAACATTATTTGCCTCTTTAATTCAATACATTTGAGCGACATAATAAAGGTCACAATGTACATGCAAAGTTTACTTTATTTCTTGGCAAAAAAAAGTTAGTTATGATTATAAAAGTCACGGAATATTTCGGCTGCACAGTGATTATATACAGCACAACCTGTAATTAGTACTAATTACATCCTACTGTATACGGCGAAAAGTTTTCACAATTTGAGGTAAAATTTTTAACCGCTGCGGTACGCCACATTGTAGTGCGTACGATCTACATAAAAGTCGTTGCAGTAATACCGCTGCGTATTTACGTATTTTCTTTGCCGGTTTTCACAAACAATAAAGCATGGTTTTGCGAACAATAAAGCATGGTTATATGCATGGTTTTGCGAACAATATTGATGCAAGTATTTTTCAAGCCGTGAAACGTGCTGTGTACAGAAATAATAACACTATCTTTAGTTTTGCTACTTGTTTTTCAAAATAAACCATACTTGTGGTATTTATGGTTTCTGCGTTTGTTACTGGCATATGTAGCTTTTACTATCTGCATAGAAAGCTAAGTAGCTGTTTTGTACGAGTGTACAAGAAATGGGGCTAGAAAGGTTTCGATCTGTTTCCTGCGATAACTAGCCACAAAGTACCTAATATATGTAATAAGTGGTATCTCGTTAATAAAACAATGTTGGAAAAGTCGTTTTGCAATATTGCAGAATTATACGTAAAACCTGTGTACAATGAGACGTAACTTAAAAATGTCCTACATAATTATCGCTGCGCAGGTAGAATTTGTTGGAGCAGTACAGATTGAACTGGTGAATATAATTTCTCTTTTCACGAGTTGAAAAGACCCCACCGTAATTCACACCCCAAGACAATAGCCGGCAATCCGGTCGCGCCGAAGGAAAGCGAAAGAAAAAACAACACTTGTTAGAAAGTGCAAACTGGCCCAGTGAACTATGCAACGCTGTTGTCTAAGTAGTGTATAACCGCGCTCCTACGCTCACGCTTGCCGCTTCAGCGATTCAAGGTATTGTTCCGCGATAGTGCGATACAAAAGCTGCAACTGTATCGCGTTCGTAAGAAAAAGACCGGTTCCGACCTGGGTCGTCGTAATATCCTGCGCCATTCAAACCGCCAATGCTTTTTATATAGTGACGATACAATGTTACACATTACCGGATAGGGACGGCGCAGCACAATGGCTTTCAAGACGCTCAGGATGGTTTTTGCATACTGGCGACCGTTGTGCATAACTGGTCGGACCGAGGCGCTGCTGCAGTATTCCGTTGTGCGCTGTCAGCTTTTATCAACGATCGAGGTCGTTTGTTGTGTACTTAAGCTTAAAGGATTTTTCATAAAAGGTTTTTGTGACGAATCGCTGCTGGTCAAGATTTCTCACTGCTCATGGAAGAAACAAATTTTAATAAACCTGCAACACTGTTTCACCTATCTTACTTTCGGCTCGAAAGTTTTGAGTACACCGGCTTTTGGTTACTTGATAATGTCGACAGATAAGGACGTATTTCAAATCATAGGAAAAAAACAGTGCAGTCTTCTCTTGTTGAATAATAAAGAATATTGGGCAGCAATAAAATTGTCACGCCATTACCCAGGTAGCGAAAATCGTAGTTTCGAATAATAAAAATTGTAGTGAAGGGGTTTTATTCGTATCCGGTTACGGTAACATTACGAACCATCAAGGGAACATTTGGTTATAATATAAATGTTAGTGCATTTTTTTGTTACAGAACAATACAGTGAACTTTAATATGAACTTTATCGATACGGTAGGGTGCACATTTAAAGACCGTGGAAATGTTAAAAATCACAAAAAATGCGGCAGCAAAAAAAATTGACAATCCAGGTGCGAATAAATGCATGGTTCCAGTGTGGACGAGTTGTAGTACAGTGGCTTTTGCGACACAAATTCAATACTTTCTGTGCCTACGGTACCGTGATCAGTCACCATTTTGCGAAGTTTGAACGAATAAATTTATACTTTTGTCTGTTTTTTTCTTGTTGGGTCCTCTTAGGCTTTAGACAAATGTGTTAGGACATATTGACAACAACCCTTTTTTTAGGACATATTGACAACAACATCGTTTCTATACTAGTAATACGTACGAAATGTAATCAAGATATTATGACAAATTTTTGCTCTTCCCAACATTTCCTCGAATGCATTGAAGTGCAAAACTGCTAAGCAAGCTTCCGAGGAAATTATAATTTTCGAGAGCTTGTATTTGTAACTTATTTTCGAAAGCAAGAGGTTGACCTTTGAGTAGCCCTCTGCGTTAAACATTCTTTCAATGATATCGTTCCCAGGCGAAATCGCGCTAGCTGAAATGCACTAAGGTAATCTACGCTCACTGCAAAAAGGGGAATCCGAGATATCGTGATCTAAACACATTTGTGCGATCGCGAAGGGAAGTCGATCTCGCGGCAGGGACACCCACATGCACACAGGGACAGGAAGAAGCGCTCAGAGAGAGCAGCGCGATTAATTATCGCATCACTCACAACTGCATCGCTTACAAGAGGGGAAATATTTAATGGCTAAATTTGGAGCACGGTTAATAAAGCAGCAATTTGCAGCTAGAGCTATTAAGCGCGGCCATTTGATATCAACGGTGCTGGAATGTGACATCCTCCCCACACCAGTACAACGGTTAGCGAGAGGGACGAAGAAGACCGAGGCCTGCGAATTAGTGCACGTGCAGCGCAATCTGAGATTCCCGCAGCGGCGTGACATTTCCTTGCCGGGTTTTTATCGGAAGCGTATCGTTCGCAGCATCTGATGCTTCTAATGCCGCGGCTACTCTTTCGTGTATATGCCCGAAATCGAAGCATTAGGAATTTAATTCGCCGGTTCCTTGTCACATTATTTTAGGCTTTTAGCCGAGCAAAAATTTTAAACGGAATAAAATAATAACAAAATTAGAACAAAATGAGATCAGGAAAAATAATACAAATAATTCTTCAATAAAGCTTCTGTTAAAAAGGTTACAACGTCATCGTCATTCCCGGCAAATTTGCGTAGACATGCCGAATAAAAAACAGCAAACAACTGTCTACCTTCTGTGCCACGGTTGTTAAGGAATTTCCCACTATCCAAATTTATTTGAATTAATAAAAGTGTAAACCCGCTCGATTTTTGTAAGTAAAGCGAGACAGATGGCTGAGGACTTTTGTCGGTTAATATGGATTTCACTCATTGCGCAGACAAAGGTGGCAGTTTACAATTTTGAACACACACTCTGCACACATACAATATCTATCACATATGCACTGTAAAGTGAACAACCCGCCGATGCCTCCCAGCCGGGCTGGAGCGACGAAAAGCGTCTTAGCACGGCAACGCATAGAAAGGACAAGACACAAAACATCTGGCACAGATTTACATACATTCATCGGATACATAAACACAACATCGCAACCGCCGCAGCCTCACATACAAAGAAGTTCATGCTACAAAATACGGATATCTTGCGCTGGCTGGATGAACTTGAACTTTCCCCAGTTGCCAATGAACCTCCAGATGAAATCTCCAAAGTCTGAATGAAACTGCAGTAAAATGTTTTTGCCGCGAGCGGTTTTCAGTAACAACCATTTTTTGTATGTTTTATTTGACGAGAAGAGTCGCTTTGAATGTTACGTAAATATAACAATTTTGGTGACATTAATTTTCTTTATAATTGTACCAGGAATTTTCCCTTAATTTTTCTGAAGACTGCAGCAAATCTAGGCAAACTAATCAGGGGATAATTTTATGATGTGCTGATCAAATTATCGGGATGGCATGTTATGGAGTGGCGGAATGTGACGTCGCGTAATCAAATATCAATCGTTCAAATCCGCGCAATGGACAGTTGTTGAATCAACATCCGTCGTTCTGGCGCGCTTGTCTGCTGCTCAAAGCTTAACTTGACGCAAATTGAGCTTCATCCACCACCATCACTTCGCTTTTAATCGGCAGCATGGCGTTTTTATTTTGATCAATACGGTTGTCCGTGTCATCACTGTCGCCAGCCGCCATACGCAAGACATCACTGCGTTGATGACCGACAAAATTTGATACCGGCGGATTTTTTCTTAGACTGTCCTGAATTTGAAATTAAACTGGGAGAAATGAAAGTCTGCCTGCAGCGGAAAAATATCAAATCTACTTCATAATAGAACCCGGCGCTTTTGAGAAATTGTCTCGCTTGGTAATTTCTTTAACTACCCAATAAAAGCCAGCAAAGTATTACACTAATTAACATTTTCGACCAATCATGTTGCCTAGATCGCGTTTTTCATACAAAAAGACGGACGTTTTTTTATTTATTTAAGCCAACAAAATTCGCTAACGGAATATTGAAGTTTATAAAGACTGGTTAATTTCATCAGCCTCATTGTTGGTCGTTTCATTTTCAAAGCATAAGCAAACCAAAGAAGAGTATACGCGCATTTTAGTATTCATGAAGGCAAACGCAAATAAACATACGACAATATTTAGTCACACTCCCGCAAAATGAAAACAATACGCTAACCGCAAGGTTAATCGCTAATTAAACCCTTTTGATTTCTACCACATTGTCAACAAACTCAAAACACCTAACCACTACACTACGAAACAATGGCCTTTCCCCGTTCACGACACTGCGAGAAAGCCAGTAGCAACGTGTGAAAAGGCAGTCAAGCCAGCCAACGCTTTTCACTGTGTGGCAAGAACGGATTTAAAAACACCCAATGGCGACAGCGCGACACAAAGAAAAACCGGCCGGCCTCTCTCGTCTCTCTGTCTCCCTCTCTCATACACACACATAGCCACAGCATTCACTCATTCCCGCACTTACACACAGCGCAGCATCGGCTATAAGCAGCTTTCTTGGCAGCCACCCAACAAAGTGTGCAATATGTGCGAGAAAACGGCGACAGCGCGCGCGGTGTCGGAGAAATTGATTAAACAAAACACTTAAATCTGGCCCATCATCAACCTTTTTTTCCTATCCTTATTGCTCCCCCTTACGTTAATCGGCGCCGAACTTTAAGCGATCCTTTGCAAGTCACGAAAAGGCAAAAATCCGCATAATCAGCGATGGTGACGATGCATCCCGGCACGGTGTACCGTAATCCGCCGTCAACGACGACATCCGCGTCGTCGTCAGCCAATATCGACACATTAAACGACTGCTCGGCCGTCGCCGCCGCCGCTGCCGCCGCGGCCAGTTGCTCCCAGTCCTCCGCACCGTATTATAATAATTCAGCATATTTTGTCCAGAATTCCAATAATTCCTCCTCCACGGCGCAAATGTACCAGAATCTCTATCAATCCCAGTTTTATCCGTCCTCGGGAGGATCGCGGAATGCCGCGGCGCTGGACGGATATAATCCCTATGCCAACCTCAATACGGCGACATATTCCCGGGGATTCCATGGAAATACCGGGAATAACACTCCCACCGCGCCCTTCTACACCACCACGACAAACGGGTAAGTTGCCGGGTAAAAAACCGGCGTTAAAGTGATCTACACGGAAAAAGTGCTACACAGGAAAATATTCCGTCTTCGGTGTACTGGACACCACCGCGAAGTAAAAATAATAAGTGAAGCACGGTTGTGTGCAGTTGCACTTCGGGAGTGAGTTTAGGAGAAGTGTGTGTCTGTGTGTATGTGTAATATGGCCAAAATGCCTGGGTTTGAGCGGTTGGATTTTTGTTATGCCAAGTTGCTGGCGTTATTTAATAAGAAAACACCAGCAAGATTACACAAACAAAAACTGTCACTTTACTCTCCCTTTTCCACATATATTTCGGCTATACGCAGGCACATATGTGATGTCTGTACTTGGGTGTTTCTTATCGCAGGGATATTATGTTATGTACCGTTTAAGGGCGCTACTGAATGGGGAAGCAGCCCGGCATAAAACACACAAACAATCCACTGCTGCGTGCTCTAATCGCGGCTATTATGTTCACGAGTTTTTGTTATTGTTGATCCAGGAGAAGCGCATACTCTCCACTCTCGGTTTCCCTTCCGCGCGGAAAAATGCTTTTCTTTACCAATGGGATTATATTTTTAGCCACGGCGTGTCCATATACGCGGTGCTGTACGAGAGTATTTTGCCAAGATGTCCAATGAAAATAGAATACAGTGAGGGGTTGTTTTCGGGTGTCGCATTCCTGCTTTGCAATGAACGAATCAAGTGTTTCGATGGCTTACGTAAATCGTCTACTATATCGGTACCGAAATAATTGATTAGTAATCGAAAGCGCGCAATTAATTTACTGGGTGACCTTTAGGCACTCTCGACAGCCATCACTTTTCAACCCGTTAATAGATATTTTAACATGACCTTTCATAAAGATAATGTTTTTCTGAATGATAATGAAAAGAGCGAAGAACTTCGACGGATTAATTGCATTTCTGTACATATATGCATAAAATATTTTCTCAAAATATTTACACATTGTCAGAGATATGTTAGCAATGCGCAGTATGAACAAGCAGATTTTGTCCATCACACCGTCTCGTGCGCCCATTGATTGTCGTTCATGATTCATATCCGCAAGAATGCTGAGCATGTTTGTGGATGTGTTCAATCTGTGGATAATCGTTTAATTGTTTGTCTCTCGCATTTCCCACCTGCAAGTGACAATCCGCTGCCGAAAGCTTCCAATAGACTAAACGATTAATTGACTGTACAATTTGAACAAAGTGGTTCTTTTGTAGCCGGGCCACTGTTCAGGTGAAGTTAATCAAGCAACATTGATTTAAGCTTGTTACCCGGCTTGTTCACGCTGGAAAGAGGACAATACGCAGTGAAATGCCGTACACAATCGGGATAAACGGCGCATCTTCCCGTACTTATAACGCGGGAAGTGTTAATCCATTTTACCAATGAATGAAGAACGGTTAATCAAAAGTGTCCCGGCTTAAAAATGGCCAAATGAGTCAACTGAGCAAATTATTTCCGATAGCGACCACTGTGAGCAGTACAGCACAGGATGGTAATAAGCATACAAACGTAGAATAATGGCTGTAGTTTTGTCGGAATGTTGCGAAGTCGGAAAGTCTAATTTGCGAATGTACATATCATGTGCACTGAATGAGCAGTTTTGTACAGAAAACTTTTTATTTGAATCCCGTGTGCGAAATTCAGAAACAATATATTTCAGACAAATCAGCGCAGAATAGCGATTCCCTTTCAACTCTTCGCTCGCTTTTACACAGGTGTCTACATTTAATTCAGGGTGCTCTTTTAAACTACTGTATCTGCACTTACCTAAAAATGTATATTACAGAAAATAATAATCCAGTAATTGAAAGTTGTTCAATAACATGTGAATGTTCTTTACGTATCTGTATATATACGCATTTTCTATTAGGTATAATCCATATTCGGTGAGCGCCTGCAGTTTGGCCAGTATCGGCGCGAGTGGTTCGGTGGGGACGCATTCCTTAATGAACAATAAGGACATGGTCAAGCCGCCCTACTCCTACATTGCCCTGATAACAATGGCCATAATGCACGCACCTGACAAGAAAATCACTCTGAATGGCATCTACCAGTTCATCATGGAGAAGTTCCCTTTTTATCGTGAGAACAAACAGGGCTGGCAAGTATGTATATACTGTATACAGTCGTTCTGCAGCGCTTCAATCCTTATTTTCCAGTACATATTTCGCTGCAATAGCGTATTTTCGACATAAGATGAAAAGCCTTGGTTAGGCCGGTTTTTATGCTCTGGTTGCATTTGATAAAAGATTTTGCCTTTACGCTTCACGCTCATTTGCTAAGTTGCCTTGCTCTATCTCGTACAACATGTAATTTTAAATGAAATTGATATCAGTTCTGCTTATAGCGTTAGCTTACATAAAGTTAAACTTAAAACCAAAATTCGTGAGTCCTCAGTAATCACTAATCAGTCAACCAACTTCTATTTACAGATAACTAAGACTGGCATTTGCTGAAAAAATCATGAACTATTTTGTAGCGCTAAATCACTGCAAAGATCCGGTGTTCAAGTTGTAAAAATAAAATTCAGTATGCCATGGTATAATTATTAATAATTTAAATATTATTCGTATGGTGAAACATATTCAGTTTGCTATTCGAATAAGTAATAACAAATCCTTTGACTTATGGTTAGTCACAACTCACATAATACAATATTATCATGCAGCGAGCGTAGTGCGACGGCTTATAAAATAAACTCCAGCTACTTTAGTAAATGCGCCGATCTTATAAATTGTAAAAGACGCTTTGAACGTTAAAATATTGTTTTTTTAAAAAAATATCCTTGTTTTTGCCTATACAGATCGGACATGTCACGTGATACCTATTTATCACAGAGTTTCGCAGATTAAAAATTTCATGTTATTACAGAATTCCATCCGGCACAATTTGTCCCTAAACGAGTGCTTCGTCAAAGTGGCCCGTGACGACAAGAAACCCGGTAAAGGCAGCTACTGGACCCTCGACCCCGACAGCTTCAATATGTTCGAGAACGGCAGCTACCTGCGCCGCCGGCGGCGTTTTAAGAAGAAGGACGTCGTCAAGGACAAACTGGACGGTGACCTCGAGCCTAGCCCCTCCGCCGGTGACCTCAAAGACGACGCCAAACTCGACCAGGATCCGCCCAAGAAACCCTCGAAGATCAAAAAAGAGAAGCCCGACCCGCCGCCCCCAGTTCCGGCGGCCGCCCTCTCCCTCAGCGATTCCCATTCCCGCTCGCCGACGCCCATCACCCTGTCCGCCTTGCAACAGGCGGCCAGCAGTGCGGCGGCGGCAGGGGCCCGCTCGGCGCAGTACGCTCCGGTGAGCAGTTTCAACAGCGGGACGGGCTACCTGGATTATGCCACGCCCACGACGTACGGGTCGGAGAACCAGGGCGGGCATACGACGACCCCGGTGAATTGGTATCAGCCGTGGAGTGGGAACGGGGGAACAGACTCGGGGATGTATGATATTAGTGGGTATTATCCGGGGAATGGGAGCGCACCGCCGACGGCCGCTTACTATCATACGCTGAATTCACTGCAGAATGTCCAGCTGTATAGTGGGCCGTTGGATACGTCGCAGGATAAATTTGAATGACAACAATACTCTGTTACGGAGAAGCAATTATCCCGTGAATAATTCCGGTACGTAACAAAAAAAAACATTACATCATTAATAACTAACTAATAATACAGCGTATTTATTATTATAATATAGTGTATCAAATGCAGCGTATTATTTTATGTGAGTACAGATATTTACCAAATTATCGTGTAAAGATTTTCATTAAGTATTCCATAGTATTTATTACTAAAAACAATATACTTATTTACAGTTCCAACGTAAATTGCAACGTAAATAAATACAGGGAAAATAATTGTCGCTTTTGCAAAAAAAATTATTATTTTTTAATCTTTTTTTAGATTAAAATATAAGAACATTTTTATTTATGCAGTAATTATCAATAAGCATTTGCGCAGATTAATTACATCTTTTTTTCGATTTTCTGAACAAATAACTTAATTTCGCTATAAGCAAGTTGTATTCCATCAGCAATAAGAACTGCAAACGTCGAATGCCGTATTAAAATAAATTCTTCAGCAGAAATTCCTTGAAAACTGGAGAAAACGAAGGGTGACCTTTGAGCGTTGTACTTAATTGACAGCAGTATGTATATATAGGCCGGTCAATTGAATCCACACACTAAGTGGCGTGTTTACTTGGCATTATGCGATTATGAGCACACTTCCCAGCAAACAGCAAACCTCCGCTAACCGTCATTACGCGCCGTACACTGTAAAGCAGTGCTTGTGCAAATACTCATCCAGATTTGCCATCTCTGTATACGCGTATCCACAATAGCCGTCCAATTGTATATGGCTGCTTCGTGTATCTTTAATTGAGTGTAAAGCTCCCTGTTCAAGTGGCTACTGTTGTCCGGTTGCATATGTTTCACAATGGCCATCCGATCCACGACGTAGCGCATTCAGTATTGTGCATTTACCAGTTCTATACTGATACAGAGTGTATTCAAAATGTACACGTGCTGCGTCCATTGTTATGCAGTGCTGCGCTGCGACCTTAAGCGTTGGGACCGGCTGGTGGTATTTACATTTATGGCAAATCTCAAGGTTATCCAAGAGGTTATGCGAAACGATATGTCTTTGACATTTGTCCATGTACAGCCGAAATAAAATGCCCATGCGCTTTATTTAATGGCCGTTCGAAAGCTTGTACGTGAGAAAATCTAATCAGCCACAGATTTTCCTGCTTTTATTAGTAGACTTCGCTGTTTTACTGCAGCCACGCTTATGCCAAAATTTACTACAGTTTTGGGAAAATTGAAAATATCACTGAAATGGAAAAAAAATTGAAAAATCCCGAAGTGGCCATTCTGTGTGGCTACCGTAAACGTTAAAAAACTTTTAGATGGAGACTTCGCAGAAAACTGTAGTGCAGCGGTTGTGAAATTCTAATCATAGAAGTTCCGTCAATCAGTGATTTGTCTTTGTACTACAATGTTATTCACAGCCATGGTTAAAACACGGCAGCAATGGTATAATTATTTTTAGTTCATCAGTTTTTTCTTTCTGTTGCAGGTTTTTCCTTGTAGAGTGCGTGGAAAATTATTGTTTGGTTCCTATCATGGATTTTTTGCACAGAGTGGGTTAGTGGTGTTGCATTACAGCCGACCGCGGCACCGTTCACATGGTCCAGCCCGACATGAAACGAGCCGGCAAACATTTGCTTAATTAATCGTTTGTTCCTTTTGATGATGTGATTGATGTTCATCGATTACATGCTCTGGGTCACATCATAATCACTGCACTGTGTATCTTGGTTGTTCTGACAGTCTCGGTTGTCGGCATGTTTGACTCTACCTATCCTGAGTATCCTCCATGATATCACCGGCTATTTCCTTTTTGTACAATTATTTAATAAAAATTATACGAGTACGCAAAAAATGCGTTTGATTATTTGCAAAATATAAAAATGGCAGTGCAAATCACAGAGTTACCGTACTGTAATTATTGGTTGGAGAAGTTTAATCGGCGTTTCTGATGGCCTTTTAAAATTTCAGCTGTACATACGGACCTGATACAGTACGTACAGAGCGAGAATGTAAAAATTATTATAACATTTTTCGGGCAATTCAAATATGCTATTATTTGTAATTCGGATGACGCAGCTGGAGCTGAAAATGCTTTTTCCCGGTGGGGTGCAGGTAAGATACTTGCCACTCTACTACAAATGCTGGCCCATGCTTTAATTTAAGATAGTACGAAGTTGTAAAACAAATGCCGCGCATAATTCTACTTGATACTTCCTTTCTCAAAAGTTTCGTTGGCGAGTAAATTCACAAAAAAACACGGTCAATAATTATGCGGATAAAAAATAATTACAGAATCGCTTGGTAAGCTTGTGTTCTTTAAAAAAATTATATCGCAACAAGGATGAGAACTTTAAACAATTCAATGTACTTATATATAAGATGGACAAATACCGTGTATGTAACAAGTTCGATAACCTCATAACAGTTTGTGGTGTTGAATCGGCCGCAATCATTTGGAGATTGCAGAATTAAACTGATACGCAATACTAATATCGATCAGCGGTAAATATGTTATGTAGGCTGATCTGTTCCCTTTGGTCAATGGGCGCAGCGACTGGAGAATGTGAACAATTCATTGGCGTATTACCAAGTGGGAAAAGCTGATGGAAAAACAACATTTGCATTCTGTTATGCCATCGAAAATGCCGGGCGACGCCGGAGCAAATTGACTTATATTTTCGACATAACACTCTGTTGTGCATCCAGTTCCGGCAACTAAGCAGCTTTCCCTAAAGGCGAATTGAGATCCCCGGCTTCTACATTTATGTCCTTTACATCGAAGCTTACTGAACAACCGCGTCAGCACTTTTTGCAGCCGGATAGATTTTTATCTATGCATCTGCTTTGCAACCCAACTGGAGTATTTATGGGTGCAATAATATCGACTGCCACCTGCCGGTACACATATCGCAACAACAAGAAACAAATTTCTTCCAAAAGTAAATTATCGTGTTTGCATGCGCTTGTACTGCGAGCACCATTGCATTTCAGTAATACATTCATTTCTGCACATGGAAAACATCAAAATAAATAGGTGGGTAAAACCATAAAATACTATAAATTAAACAGAAATGCAGCTGACCAATGGTCCAAAAGTATATCAACAATATTCAAAAAATAAAATAATTAAACCACACGAAAACCATAATAACGGCATTACTGTGCAAAGCTACTCTGTATATGACTAAAGTCTAAACTCAGGACATAAAGTCATAACTGAAATTAATATATGATTTGTACTCACTACACTTTTTTCCACATAAATTAAAACGTTCTGCTTGCCATTTACTTTATCATTAAAGGCATTTCTGTGACTTGGACTTATGTCCATGATCGATCTCCGTCATCATTTAATTGATTCATGCCGGTTCATCTTAATTTTCCCTTGTACAGATACTACGGTACATGCTAATTAAATCCTCCTGGCAAAACATAAACCAGCTAGTTTTCTCGCATTCCAGTCTCAGTTAATTCGCCCGATGCTGAGCAATCTCATGCCCCACGGTGCATGTGATAAATTAACATTTAACAGTCAGCGCGCACTGGACCTTTGATCTCCTTCCATTCCCCGAATATCTACGATAACCGCTTGTAAATCTGTGTGTGGTATGCTCCATTACGCTCACTGTCACATCCTCAATTAAGCGCCCCAATCAATCCGATCCGCATCTGTAGCAGCGCGCGATCAGATCGGGTTAGAATCTCTGCCTGCTCCGATGCGCCGCTAATTGCTCGTATCCAGCGGCCACCCACTGTCACATACAAACATCCATTAACGCCGCACTTAAAACCATCCAACGAAACACATTTCAATCCATTCGCACATTTTAACAACCCGCTAAACATCCAAAAAGCTCAAAGCATCTCAAAGCCATGAAAAAATCAAGAAGAAAAAGCCAGCAATTTTCCTCGCGCGCGCACTTCAATCCAAAAATCAAAATAATACAAACATGCTTAATAGTATATAATAATGAAAAGCATAATGGCTAAAGAATTTCCAAGTATTTAACACTGAAATAATTAATTACCATAATTTAACGTAATTAATTATATTAGTTGTAACGTAATAATCCGTACAATTCTCCAACAGAAAAACGGCAAAAATCCTTTAACTTGCTAACTCCTCAACGTCCTCATCATCCGCATCCCCGTTCATGGCCTCCAACGCCGTCGCCGTCACCTCCACGAGGGTCACGTACTCCGTGCCCTTCCCGGCCACCGACCTCCCCCCGGATCCGCTGGCCACCACCTCCATCTCTTCTCCGGACGATTTCGCCTTACTAGCCACATGCGGACTGCGCACCACCACGTTCTTCCGCGCGCCACGCGTCTGGATGCTCTGATTCACCGCAGGCGAGCGCCGCTGACTCCCCGATTTCGCCGGGGAGGTGGGCGCGGGGGCCGGCTCGGTTTTGGCCGCCGCCGCGGTCTTGGCGCGCGTCTTCACCGGCTCGACGATGGCGGCCATCTTCTTAGGCGGTTCGGCCAGTTCTTTCGCCGCGGCGGCCGTTTTCTTGCTTTCCGGGGCTTTTTCGCTGGATTTGGCCGGTTCGGCGGTCTTCGAAGTGGTCTTGGCCGCTTTCCCCGCTGGTTTCGCCGCCTCCGGTTCTTTTACGGTGACGGTCACAGCCTTCCCCGTCGCCGCGGCTTTTCCCGTCTTTTTCGGTGGTTCCGGGGGAGTTTTCACCGACTTCGATCCTTCCGCTTTTTTCCCGTCTTCCTTCGTGGTCTCCGGAGCGGATTTGGAGGCCGCGGCGCGTGTAGCTAACCGCGCCGAAGCCTTACCAGCTTTTGCAACCTCTTCAGATTTTTCCGCGATTTTCTCTGCCGCTGCTTTCGTTTTTGCTTGAGACTTGGTTGCCGCTCCAGTTTTCGCCGGTGATTTGCCATTTTCCGGTGCTTTTTCCGCCGCCTTCGGTGCCTCGGCTGCTTTAGGTGATGCACGTGTCGCCACCGCCCGCACCGGCGATTTTGGAGGCTCCGATGCTTTAGCCGTCGTTTTTACATGTCTCCCCGGCGATTTCACTATGTCCACAGTCTGCGGTTCGATTTTGGCCGGTTCTTCATCCGGCGTCTCGTCCATCTCCTCGACCTCGTCCTCCCGCGACACCATCCGCGGACTGAAGCGCTTCCGCTTGTTCACCGTCTCCGGCACCGGCGCCTCGACGGGTGCGCTGCGTTTCGGGCGGCCGCGTTTCCGTACCACCGCCACCGGTTCAATTTCCGGCGCAGCGGCTTCCGCCGGTTTGGTTGTCGTTGTCGCAGCTTCCGCTGGCTTGGTCTTGAATCCACGCGTCGCCGGGCGTTCTACCAGCGCCGGTTTACGAGGTCCGAAATCCGCGGAGGACTTGGTGGAGCGGCGCGGTGATTTACTGGTCGACGGGACCGGCGCCGCCGGCTCTTCGAACTCGTACACATTCTCCGGGGTCTTGGCTTTCTTGGCGACCGCTTTCTTCGGCGTCTCCTTCTTCTCCCCTTCATCCTCCGCCTCCATGCCCGAGGCCTTGCGTTTCCGTGGTGATCGACGAATATTCGCCGCTTCTTCCGCCTCGGCCTCTTCCTCCTTCTCACCTTCATCTAGGGAAGAAATTCAGACATTTTTGCGCCGTTTTTAAGATGACTTGGCAATAAAACGAAACGAATTTAAAAAGGAATTTGATATATAATAAATCCTATTTTAAACTAGTCGACGTTGAAATGGTAAAAAGGTTGAAACAAAAAGCTTCAATCTATAACAAAATCATGTAACTAAAAGTTCTCTTCTTTTTCAATAAGAAATATTTCAAAACCTTCGTATTAGTGATTAGTGGCTGACTGGTCACAATTCGTACGTTCAAACTGCTTGCACTTAGTGCCACTATTCTACATCATCCATACTCATACACCTTATCATAGACGATTTCTATTTGCATGAGTAGGGTATATACGAGTAGTACTTTCCTTTAGTCGCTCTTCGCCAATCGCTGTTCGTCAGATCTTAATTACCTAATTCTGTGATTTTTTAACTTGAGATTAATTTTAATCAGAATATATTTATCCAACAATTTAATTTCTCCCTTTCACATCTTCTCAAATACCAGCCTCAAACGGACGTCTAATTTTTTTAATTACTGCGGTCAGTCGTTTGAAATCTTGAATTTTGAAAGTCTGATTCCAAACCATACTGTCTTCACTAAAGATTAGAGAGTATTTCCATATTCCATATTTAAAAAATTATTCCATATTTAATTAAATTAAAAACGCACTTTTTCATCGCAAACATAAGGAGGCCGGTTTAACTTAAAAATGATCAGTAATTGTCCTTCGCTAATAAAAATCTAGAAAGGCCGATTTCAAAATTATTTTCATTTCACTACATACACGATTTTCTCCGCTTAAAATAAAAATTAATTTTTCCTTTTCAAATTTCTAAAGTCGAAAATTCGACAGTTAAATTTCCACCCCACCTTCGTCGGCGATCTCCGCAGCCGCCTCTGCATCTTCCCCGACCTCTTCGGGCGCCGCTTCCCCCTCGACAGCCTCGGCGCCTTCCACCGTTTCCATGCCCTCCACCGGCTCCTCCATCTCCTCGATGACCGGATGCATCAGCTGCGCCATAATCTCCTGCGTGCCTGGCCAGTCGATACTGCGCAGTTTCTTACTGGGGAACGCGCCCTTCGTCAGCGTCACTTTGCCGGCGGTTTTATGGTAGCGCAGCATACTGTCGTCAAAATGCGCCGAGCAGATCAGGTGTTTATGCGTCCACGGGTAGGCATTCTCCAGAGAGATGGCATCCGACCATTTCTGATACTGCTCCCACACGGCGGGGTCCGCGTCGTCCGGGGGAATCTGCGGACACTTGAACATGCCCACTTTCTGCTGGCGGAGACGGTTCTGATGCGAGGGACACGCGGCAATGACACACTAAAGGAAACAGAAAGCAAAACGTTAACCACTTTGAATGCGAACATTGCGCTCGTAATGCGTCTGCAGCTTGCACATTTCTTGAAAAAAACAAGTACAAAGTCATTTCTTTCAGTAAACTATAATTTTTAAAAATATAATCAAATTCAGTATTAATTTTGTATAATATTTTATGCAGTGTAAACTAAATTTTCGTTATAAACGGTCCCACGAGGTAATACTACGTATAAGCCACTTTTCTACGACAATCATCAATTGTCCCAGTATGATAAGCGGTCACGATTTTCACTGATTGTAATAAACGGACTGCAGAATATTCACAATCATATAAAAATACATATGTACAGTATTTACAAAAAATTGTACTTTAAAAGATTTTTACTGATTTCACTAAAATGTGCGAGCGAAAATGAACAAATCTCAAATAAATTTTGTGAATGTAATTCTTGCCTAAAGAATACGGAAAATTATGCAAAGGAAGTACAGTAATGGCCCTTACATGACGCTGCGACAACCCATGTCGTCCGAACTTCAGTTTAGGATCGAAGGTATCGAATTCGCTGGGCAGGAATGTGTGGATAACCTCCGGCTGCAGGACCGCTTCCGCCGGCATCGCGCCTTCCTCGCCCTCTGCTGGGCCTTCCACCGGCTGCACTGGTTCCGTACTGGCCGCCTTCTCCACGTCTTCTACCGGTCCTCCTTCCATCGCCGCCTCATCGGTTCTAAACAACGAGCACTGACATCAGAAGATGTAAAACGTAAAGGTAATGCATGAAATATCTTTAAAAAAATTATCAGCAGATTAATTCAGAAAAACTAAATACGCATACCAAGTTAATTAAACGTATTATCAAGATTACTTCACAGAACAGATAGGAGATGATAATAAGGCTTCTTCCACTGCACTACGATTCACATATTTTTAAAACACAGGATGTAAGTACACTAATCAGGTAGGAATGCGCGATGTATTCATCAAAATACTCACAAGAAAAGAAAATGCTTTCCGCTGAAACGAAACGATTTCATAAGATAAGATAAAATCTGGTGCGAATTTTAAGGAAAGAAATCACATTCCGTCACAAATCACTGAACGTTTTAAACAAAGGCGAATTATCGGAAATATATATGCAAAAAAATTCAAGGATTGGCATATAAAAATTTTCGGGTGATTCTTCTGTTAAAATAAAACGATTATTTTACTGAAGATAATTGTTTGGTAAAATTTACGAAGAAAACCTGAGTCAAACTACTCAATTTTATTAGAAAGAAAACTGTCAAAGATTTCAGCACGTACTCGATAATATTCACCGTGGGAATGGATCCCTTCTTCAGCCGTCCGTTCTCCTTGATGCACTCATCCTCAAAGTGCTTGGAGCACATGACGGTATTATTCGCCGTGCACCCGTAGAACCCGGCGGCTTTCAGCCAGATCTCGCGAATCTCCGGATCATTGGGCACGTGGTAGTAGCGTGTTTCGTCGCTGTCATCGCGGCCTACCCGCCGACTACTGCAGCCCTCCACCATGCAGCGGTACACCACCGAATGCGCACTGCTGGCCTTCTTCTCGCGCGGCGTCTCATGGGCGGCTTCCCACGCCTCCACCGCCGAGGCGGCGACGTGCACCTGCCCGATGAGATTCTCAATGTGATCCAGTTGGGTGTCGGTGGCCGCTTCGTATTTCGGATCACTGCGGACCATGTTGTACTTGGCCTTCTCGCGGAATCGCTCCACACGATTCTTACACGTCCGGGATGTTAATTCCAGCGGTTCCACCTGTACATACGCAAAGAAAAATGTCAGTCGAGGCCAAAAATCTCACTGCTCATTAGCCAACCTGTATGCATTTCCATTTTTTAGCTCTGACTGAAATAAATGTTTTACTAGCTTCCACAATTTACAATTCATCCGCAACAGATTTACAATAATTATCCAGTCGGAGCTTTTCTTTCGTCTGTTGTTTTGTTATCTCAGCCGTCAAAAAATGGTAACGAAAATATGTTTCACTAACAATCGTGCTAATACTAGAAAGGATGCGCAGAGTCAAAACGCGGACTTACTTACAACGTTTTTACCCTTGACATACAGACATCGAACGCAAAACCGCGCCCGTTTATACGTCTTGCATGTAAGTATGTACGGGCTAAACTCGACCGCATGCGCACAACTGTTACGACACACGGACTGACAATTTACTGTATGCGTGCTGACATTGTTCTACTAATTCGCAAAATTGTATCATTACATTTTATAAAATTGTATCATTACTTTTGAAAAGTTAATGCCATATAATCTGTTGGAGAACACCAAAACAAGGTCGATTGGGTACATCTGCGCACTATTCTTTTAAGCTAAAATAAATGAAAGAAATACGGTAAACAATATTTCTGGGTAGCCAGAACAAAGCGGGAACCCGCCACGCGGTTAAGCAGAGTATACAATTTGCTGTCATAAATACAGACGAAACATCAAAAGTGAGGTTATTCGAACAAAATAAATCATTCCAGCTCATACATTGCTGAATTGACATGATAATAAAATAAATTCTGGCTTACCATGGAAGGCTGTACAGCAGTATAAATCGTAGTCGGATATGAAATCAGGTTAAGAACTCAAGCACAGTACGCAGTAAACTTCAAACAGCACCAACAGCTGGGTAGCCAGCCAGCAGGGTTCCCTGCGATACGATGGCAGCTATTCACGACAAGTATACCACAAATCGTTAGAGACAGCCACAAGGATTTGTGAACCTTTTGGCAAGCTCCGATTCAGTTTGTAGTACGCCAGTCAGGTGCAATAGGATATAAAATTAAATTCAAAGATAATCAGAAAACACACATTCAGTAAACAGAGGCGCACCTCGCAAAACACTGATACTGCTCAGGCTAATCTGGATTCCCAGAACACATGCTTTCCTGCACTATAGATGCACATGCAGCGCATCAGTTTTCTATTTCTCATTTCAACAACAAACAAGAAGGCAAGAACTAAAAAAAACTTAAAAAAAGACGGAAAACCCTGTCGTTTTACTGTTTAACCGTCGCTGTCAGCCCAAAGTATGGAGAAACGATCACGTGGTTTTGAATTTTGCTATTGGCGGTGGGCAGCCTCGATCTAACTCAGAATTCTGACCCACCAATAAAAATCGCGGAAATGCGAAGTTTGTAAGTACCTGGGCGTCGCTTAGACCCGTTACAAGGTACGCCCATGTTCGTAACGGTTTTCGTCGACGCCCACCGACAGACATCGAGCGAAAAGCGACTTACAACGAAGCCCAGCCAATTGGAACTTGACACGCCTATTTCTCGCTTCGATGTAAGTCGCTGATGCTCGATGTAAGTCCGCGTTTTGACTCTGCGCATCCTCTGAACTTAATTAATTCGGAATGCATTACTAGAAATAGCTCATAGGACCCTTTTTTTCTAATCCACTGCACTACGATACGTCGTACACACCACAAAAAAACAAATAGTACTGTATATGATGCTATCAACTCAAACTCACCTTAGCGGCATTATAGACGGTGACGATCTTCTCCCACTGCAGTCGCACTTTATGGTCCCGCTGACTGCGATCCGGCAAGAACGGATTGTTGGCTACCAACAATTCCAGCAACATAATGTCGCGATTAACGGTCTCCGGTGTGCTGGCATTCTTCCCAAAGAACGACCGCTTGCCGTACCGGTCGTCCGAACTGTTAACAGTACAAAAACACGCATAATTAAAGAACCCGTACACAGACAACCAAAAATTAACCAACAAAAATAACGAAGAAAACGACTTACAGAAGACACAAGGACACAGCAACCTACTGAATAATCACATAAATAATCTGCCTATTCAATTAATACGTCAACAAAAATGCTGAATTGTTCAATTCACTGAACCAAGCCAATTTCAATTCGATAAAAATATTCAAACATTATTTGAAAAATATTTATAAAGCACGATATTTGAGTAAATACTGCATCAGTTTTTTTATAAAACCGACCACAAGGCACTGATCATGCCGACCGAGTACATCTGGATTCAACGGCCGCCACTTTTTTACAACCAACCATAATTTTTATCGATTTCACCACAGATACTGGATGGCCACGATTTCGCCTACAACTGTGGCTGATTTCCCATAAAAAATATACAAAATATATTTTTCAAAAAATATACTGGTATGTAAATATTACTTATGAAAGCATCTATGATTATAGATGTTTTCCTAAATAATACGGGAATTCGTCATAAGGAGCGACAATACTGCCTTTACATGACGTTCCATGCTGGACGAATTTCAACGTACGTAATTAATTCATTTCCATACAAAAAAATAGCTTCAATAGGGCTATTTCAGACGTACTCGTCATCTCCATTTTCCCCACTACTATCCAGAAACAGTGTCGGCACTTCGCCGGCCTTAACATGGGGTTTGCGGAAGAAATCAATCTGTTTGGGCTCAAAATGTTTTGTACAAATCAGCATATGCCGGCGGTCCAGGGTCTCCTGCGGCAGTTTATCCAACAATCCGCAGTCTTCCAGATATTTGCGACGCTTCGGACCTTTCATGGGAATCTCGGAGAAGCGGATTTTCGACCAGTCGACACTGCGCACCCGGTTGTGACACGATGGGACAATGCAGCGGAAGTTCTTACGCGTGTGCCAGGCCGACGGCGGCTGTTCATCCATGAAGGTGGTGATTTCTTCGACATCGTTTTCCGGAGCACCGTCCTGTGAAATAAAGGTTAAAGATATGTAAAACGTCACAATAATATCAGCCAAGCGAAAATAAAAATCAGCTTAACAATATTGTTTACTGTGAGTCTGTGACCGATCTCTCCCTCGATTAAAACAGAACAACGATGCATCAAATCACACTTATAAGTTATAACAGCTACACAATGAATTAAAAATTAGTATATTTTCATTATTTTGCACCAAATAATCGAAGATCCATTTAATTAAACTTTCACTGTAAAGCAGTGTGCCGGCGCTTGCACTTTGTGTTGTTTTGATGGCTATAGTGTACTAAAAATTTGATTTAATAAATAACGGTTCAGTGTAATCGCTCGTTCTATCAATGTAAACAAATTGACGCGAAAGAAGCTCAACTGATTCATTAACGCTAATTTTAGTGGATATATAAATCTAGTAATCCACCATAGTATTTATCTATTAAATCACCATAGTATTAATCCAATAAATCACCATAGTACGAGGAACTCAAAGGCTCAACGTTCGAAATTTTAATGGCAAAGGCCGTAAAGTAAATGACCGGATAAAACCGGCATGACGATACTCGATACAGGCGTGCCACAATAAAAGAACAGTAGCAAAATAAGTCAATAAAATTTTAAAAAACCAAAACTCCAACTTTATAATGATAACAGAATATGTCTCAGTGAAAATCAAGAAAATGAAAACAATTCACGAAGGCACACTCTATAGTCTACAGGGTACTGCTTAAAGCGCATTATTTTTAGCTGCTACCAATATCAATGCAGGATTTCCTTACCGCTTCTCGATCAGCCGCTTCCTTATCGAATTCCTCCTGCGTCAAGAAGAGCGACGGCAGCGTCCCGGTTTTGACGACATACTTGGCCTTTAAATCCACCTCCTCGGGCGGGAAGTGCTTGGAGCAGATGAAGATATCGCGTGCCGCGGTATAGGGCACCCCTATGACGTCCATATAGCCGCGACGGGCCGCCGGGTTGGTTCGTGGTAGCATGATGAAGCGCACCTTGGTGTAGGCGGTGTTGCGGGCGGTATTCTTACAAAACGGCACAATACAGCGATAATTCTTCAGTTTGGCCGATGCCGGCTGCTCATAGTCCAGGAGACGCGGGTTGATGGGGTTGCGGCGAAATTTCGGGACCTTATTGCGGACACGCTTCTTGGGAACCTCCTTATTCCGGTCGTAGGCTTGCCCATTTTCAATGGATTCCAGCAAGGTGGTGATAAGCGCTAAGAATAGTCAGAGCGACAAATAAATCGGATTGCCGGATAAATATTCGCAAAAAATGTAAACATACTACACGATTAATAATAGTCAGAAGTGTCATAAATGGTGTTAAAAATTTATTATATCTATTTAAATGTTTAATTTTATTGGTTATAAGAACTTATTTGATGATTTCTGATCCTCATGATTTATTCAGTGGCAGTCTAACCACTTTTTACAGTAAACATGCAAATGGACAACCATATGATCCACATCTGTTCCAACAGAGCCGGAAATTTTCGTAGTGCAGTGACGCAGAAACTGAATTTAACTTCGCAGCTTCAGGTCCAGTATAATGCAGTTGTATGCAGCGTATGGAGCAGACCGATTTGCCCGCCGAAGCATTATTACTAATATCAATTTTTTCTTTCAATTATGATAAAATATATGAGTAAGAACTTGTCTATGATCACTGGATATTATGATCAACAAGTCACGAACGGGAAGAAAACCTACCGGGATTAGCTGCAACGGCTTCAACGTATTCCGGCTCGCCTTTGTCGCGGAAGCTCTGGTCCATGGATGGAAAATAGGGACTCAGCTGGCGTCCTTTCAACTCCCAATCATTTTTCACCAAAAACTTCGTATCTTTCTGCAAACAAACAGCATATTCAGCAAAATTAAGTGCACTACAGTACTGAACCCGCGCGACTTTAAGGAACAGAAAATTACTCTAGACCGCCCGCACTAGGCGTCGGCTTCTTTGACATCGAAGAAACCGACGTCTAGCTATAAGAGGAAAATCTCAGCATGATGAACATGCGACGCCTGCGATATCTGTTCGATATTTTCTGATTTTCGTGTAACACAACAGTAATAATAAGATTTTATAAGTCAGCAGTGAATTCTGATTTTTTAACTACCCAAATACAAAAAAGGAACTACGATTTAATGAAACACAACTTTTATTATTATTATTATTATCGAACAACAGTAGTCAAACTCAATTTGGGAGACTTTTAAGGCTATTGGAAAATGTTTTAGGTATTTTGAAAATTTTATACTTTTTTTGGTTTGATTTTATGAGATAAACGTTACTCATCTCAGTCATCTGGGAATCGATTATTATTATTATCTAAAGATAAAGATTACTAATTACACTGTCAAACAAAAATTTCAATTCTCATATTAGTATAAATCAAATATTAAAAGACACTATTAATTATTATTAAAAACCTGGTCAGGTATAGAAATGTTCTAAAAAATTCGTACAGCCATCTAAATCACGTGAATTCAAATAAAAAACACCATGAAAATAACTGGAAATCGGAAAAAGCGAAGAAATTCGCAATATTATGTTTTCTGCTGGGAAAAAATTATAATGATTTTTAGCACAAAAATCGGTAGTCGAAATAGTACAGTAAATTTTATCAACTTCGAAAATCAAAACCGAACTTTAAAATGTAAACTGTGACCGTGACAGTAAACAATCAATTTCAAAAGGCAAGAGCAAGAACTTTCGCTTATTCTTACCCGATAACTGGACACCAACTTCTCCCAGCGCTTCTTCAGGCACGACGGCAGCCGGCCGGGACTATCGGGATACTGGCTGTTGTATGTCAGCGTCAGTTCATCCCACAGATCACTGGCATCTGGCAGGGAATTGCGTCCGATTTTGGGATTGTTACGAAAGCGTTCATCCATCTCCGTCCGAATGGCGATGAGCATTCTGCAAAATATCAATCACTTCCTTCAAGACACGATCTTTACACATTTACACGGTTTCTCCCTTCAGTCTACTCTGCTCTCCAACCGGAAATGACCGGTGGAGACGGGCACGACAGCCCAGGATACGGGAAGAAATAACGTAACCAGCACCTGGTGTTCTCTGGCGTCATAAACTCCGTTTCCATCTTGGCCGTCGAGGTTTCGCCCACGGGCGGTGTGGGCGCTGCTTCGTCGCCTGACATCCTTCTCTGAACTGTTAACGTTGTTTTCCAACCAAAACAATTTGACTCAACCGATAAAAACCGTCAAAATAAAACGAAAACAACCGAGGAACCTGGAAAATGCTGCTGTGTAATTAGCTTTTCAGCCTTGCCGTTGGAAAGATGCGAAGCAACAAGCTGCGGTTGAGAGCTCCGTTGACTGTGCGATAAGGGAGTTCCATTTTATGCCCAACCCCTCTTCCATTTTCATTTAATAGAGTGGAATCTCGGAACTGTATCCGTAGTTCTGCTGTAAACAATTCATAAAAAGCAATGAGTTTACGTTTTATTAATAGCATATCATATTTTAAAATTTTCATGTTTTTGTTTATTGGATACATTGGAGATAAAATCGGGATAACTTCAGTGGAAGCAAAGGTGCTCTGGAATTCCATTTGTGCACACGAGTCTCTCCACGCGTTCGTCAGTCGCATTTCGCGAGCTCAATCCGGGTGGCGGCGCATGAGCCTCCCGCGCACGTTGACGCCATGTGCTGGCAGTTTGTGCAAAGATATCGCAGTAGTGCAGGTCACTGCATGAGCAAGTCCGCCTGCAAAACGTTTCACCTTGATAATCAAATTTTACATTTTGAACCTTTTTTTGTCATTCACATTTATGCCAAATATCGAACATCGAATAATATAGATAAACTTCGCACTCAATTTCTTATATTTTTTTAAAAATATTATCTTTGCAGTTTGCACACTTGAAAAGATTAGGAAATGATAATTATTACGAAAATAAAGAAAAATTTCGGTGTGCAAGTCGTTCGACATAGCGTGTACTACAAGTTGACCGAATTTTAATAGTCATTTCGCTTCAGCTGTACTGCACTACGAAAACTTCTACAAATTCCCACTTCCAGTTTCGCAACTGTTGGATTATTAGATCGACCAAGTGCCAGAGCATTAAGAATCATGATAGTGGATTAATTTTGGCAGTTAAAACGTTGAAACTTATCAGTATTCAGCATCCCTAGGAATCTTCCCGAACCGGAGCAAAACCGCTGGCAGAGTCTGCCTCTGGTACCGTGCTTCACAAATCACGATTCGCGGGATTGTAATCATGGTAAGTACTCCCTGACAGTCCTTGTAGATAATACTTGCAGGCGTTCTAAAAAAATTTTGGAAGAACAGCTTATGGAATTTGACAGCTAAAATGCGCTTCGTTTTATTCCACTTTATTTGCACAAGTTTATTGGGCGTTTCGTCGGTAGGGAAAAATCAAAAAAACGAAGAAGTTCGCTGCCATGAAACGGATGATAAGCTTGAAGGATTCCCGAATGTACGAATCTGAGACAAAACTTTATTTTTCACGGTGTACGATGACGAAACTAATCAGCGGATCGTATTTTGCAGCAAACCCGAGCAGCGCGAAATCAAAAAGAAGAAGAAGGATGCCAATCATCAAGAGATCCAGATCGTGGAAGCGTGAGGAATACTCATCCCGAATTCTATCCCTAGAAAAATCTTCCAGTTGTGTAATCTTCGGCGTTTTCTCTCTCGACAGACCGCAGTATTCCTCCGCATTGTTTCTCAAGTACAACACGCAGCTGGGTCCGCCGTTCCGAATTCTTATCGACACAAATTTTGTGAATTTTTGCATCCGCAATAAGATCGATGTCATCCAAGGCATGATGGACTGCCTGTATGCCAAGTGTTTTCCCTATGTGACGGATTGTGTGCTGGGGGAATTGGAAAAGCTGGGCACCAAATACCGCATTGCTTTGAAGTATGTGTCGACAAAAGCCGGTTAAATTTTTACTAATATTTTGATTTAACATTTTGTTTGATTATTTTATAGTCGCTTTAATTATGTTTTTTTTATCAGTTTGTTTTGAATTTATTTTCCTTTTATTGTTTCTTTTGGATCGCTTTGTGCAGATTATTTGCATAAGTGCTGAATATTTTGTTTGAAATTTTTATGAGCATTTTATTTATTATTTTGACTTTTTGAGTTTTCCTTTTTCAATTTTTTTATTGAATTGATTTGATTTGACTTCGTTTTTATGGGTTTTTACTGGATCTTTTCTGCCTTTTTTTCGTTTGAATTGTGCTCTGGGTTTTTCGATTGTTACTTGCTAATAATTGGTAAGCAGGCTAATAATCAAGCACTGTGGTCAGTGAATATAACAATTTGTTTTTCTCATTTTAGGGTCGTAAAGGATCCAAGATTCGAGCGCCTCCCGTGTATGCATAAAGGCACGTATGCTGATGACTGCCTTGTTCAGCGCGTAACTCAGGTACGATTTCATACTGTGTTTCACAGCAAACTCTTCAAAGTTGGATATTTTCTTTATTTCGACCCGCTTGAGCTTTTTTTTTGAACTGTTTTTCTTATCACGTTAACAGTTTCTTTCCAGTTTTCAGTGTACAATAAATTTTTACAGATTTATTTTTCATTTTTCGTGTCTTGACAACAGTCATTGTTTTGCTGTTTTTTAGTTTTCTTTTTGACGTTGAATACAAACGACAAACCGTATTTATAAAATTTTCGTATTTCAAGTAGTCTGATTACAGCACGATTAGGCGAGCGTCCTGTATTGGCTGAAAGAAATGCTTTCCGGCACGAATACATTATTACGAGTACTGTTATTTTTGCAGCATAAATGCTACATTGTGGCCACTTGTGATAAAGATCTGCAGCGACGAATCCGCAAAATTCCCGGCGTTCCCGTAATGTACATCAAGGATCACCGTTGCACCATCGAACGGTTACCCGATGCCTTTGGTGCGCCGAAAGTTTAGCATGCCGATGGTGTTGAAAGATGTGTCTTTCCGGAATGGTTTACAATTTTCTCGTGATATTTAACACTTGATAGTCGGTACCTGCTCGCGCGTTTTGAGTATTGACTGATGTGCTCATAAATTGTTCATGCAGTAATTGAGCGGTTGCCTACTCGTATGGATTTGACTAGAAGTAAACCGAAACAGAGTACTAGTGGGCGATGTCGTGATGGATAAACTTGTTGTGGTGTAGCATGACCGAAAACACGGCCGATTTTCGGTACGGCTTCGTCAAAGTTAGCAAGGCTGCTGGTCCTCGCGGTGCAATCGTGCAACCAACTGCACTGTTTGTTTGTAGACTTGAGAATTCATACTTCTAGTGTAATTACCCATGGTTCCGCCAGTCTTGCAGTGCGAAAAGCGACAAGTGGTAGTTACTAATTAGGGAGAGCGTAAAATTGTTCTAAGGAAGCCTTCGCTTCGAACATAATGTCACTCAGTCTGTCACAATCACCAAGTTACCGTGCTTTGTGATCATGTGATTTCGAATCATTTGTTCAATGTTTTCCAGATTCCAAAACAGGCACGCAAGGCATAACTATAAAACCGAATGTACGTGGGGTCACTAGCACCAGAATATTATTACAGCAGAAGAAAGAATGTCCATCATTAATAATTAGTTAATAACTAATTATTTGTCCGTAAATATTATCAGAAGTTATGTTTTCATCCATTCTTTCCTAACAACCAGACTGCAGAGTGTACATCTCGATCACGTCTCCATCCTCGAAATCATAGTCCGAAACCAGATTGTAGTCAAACAACTGACAGCCGTCAAACATCATTCGCTGCTGGTAAATGGGAATCCCAAAGTGATTTTGAACAAACCCTTTGATTCGTTCAATCCTAACGAGTTTCCCACTCACACGTGAAGAGAATTGCCGTCCTGGCAAGTTGCAACGAAGGAACAGCTATTTGCCCCGTCCCTTAACAACACCGGTGGTCAGCGGACTTGCCAACGACTCCGTCGGTTGGAACACATTTGTCAGCGTGGGATGTTTTGAAATCTGATTAAATTCATCTAGAAGATGCTCACACAGCGCTCTCGGCAGAACACTGACTGGTGGCATATCCCGCAACGCAAACATGAAGCCCAGTAACACCATTTTCACGCCGGTCTGCATATTAGTCAAATCAAACTCGTGTCGAATCAACCGGATCAACTTGTCAACCGGAAACAACTGCAAATCAACACCCGGCAGACATAGACGCTCTAGCAGGGCTAGCTGCGTCCAAACCTTCGCGGAATGGATGTTCCATTCGACGGACAGTGACACCAGTTCATAGAGCAACGCCAGTGTAGTGCGGGAAACATCCAAAGATAAGCAGTCACTAGAGTTACTGTACAGTCACCGCGCCCAGCAGAGTTACAACCCCTTCTTTACTAACGCCCATTTCGTACACCCTCACTTGCCCCGCATCCTTCGGGCCAAAGATGTCTCGGGTTTTGGTGGAAATATTCATCAAGAACTGACGATCCACTTTTATATCGGAACGTCCACACTTCAAAGTAACATTGCCGTGGCCTTGCAACGCGGAAAAATTGTCTTGGACCGCACCCACTGCACTATGCGGTAAACCGGCTGCAGTTGTTCGCGGATGAGCAGACGCAGTGGCACACGCAACGTGATGGGATGTAGCAGTATCCTCGTCGAAAGAGGCCCAGCTCCTGGCAGCACTAGGAATGCGTCTGGCCGTGGATGTTCATCAGTTTCACGTTGATTAGCCGGTAGCTGTTTTTGTTGCACGATGCGTATAGCGTTCTGGACCGAAATAAAATCTTTAGCTCTCCTAAAACTAACGTTTTTGAAAGCAAAACGCAATGCCACAATAGGAGCTGAGTTTAAAAAGAAAGTAGAAAAAAATCAATTATATGATTTACGGCAGGTTGATGACAATTAAATTATTACTGCTAAACTGCACTGCATCTCTTTATGCATTGAGCCACAATGTGCGATTTCATTTTACTAACGGCCGGGCAGTTCTAACTTCAACGTAGGATAGTATCTACGTAGCGCAATAATTAACATGCAATC